ACCCACCTACTCACCCCCAACCCTCCTACTCACCCCCAACCTCCTACTCACCCCCACCCTCTAACCCCACCCTCCTACTCACCCCCACCCTCCTACTCACCCCCACCGACCTACTCACCCCCACCCTCCTACTCACCCCCACCCACCTACTCACCCCTACCCTCCTACTCACCCCCACCCTCCTACTCACCCCTACCCTCCTACTCACCCCCAACCTCCTACTCACCCTACCCTACTACTCACCCCACCCTCCTACTCACCCCCACCCACCTACTCACCCCCACACTCCTACTCACCCCCACACTCCTACTCACCCCCACCCACCTACTCACCCCCACCCTCCTACTCACCCCCACCCTCCTACGCACCCCTACCCTCCTACTCACCCCTACCCTCCTACTCACCCTACCCTACTACTCACCCCACCCTCCTACTCACCCCCACACACCTACTCACCCCCACCATCCTACTCACCCCCACCCTCCTACTCACCCCCACCCTCCTACTCACCCCCACCCACCTACTCACCCTTACCTACCTACTCACCCCCACCCACCTACTCACCCCCACCCACCTACTCACCCCCACCCACCTACTCACCCCCACCCACCTACTCACCCCCACCCACCTACTTACCCCCACCCACCTACTCACCCCCACCCACCTACTCACCCCCACCCACCTACTCACTGCTACCGACCTACTCACCCCTACCCACCTACTCACCCCCATCCACATACTCACCCCCACCCTCTAACGGTCTAACCCCACCCTCCTACTCACCCCCACCCACCTACTCACCCCCACCCTCCTACTCACCCCCACCCTCCTACTCACGCCTACCCACCCCCACCCTCCTACTGACCCCTACCCACCTACTCACCCCCACCCTCCTACTCACCCCTACCCTCCTACTCACCCCCACCCACCTACTCACCCCCACCCACCTACTCACCCCCAACCTCCTACTCACGCCTACCCACATACTCACCTCCACCCTCTAACCCCACCCTCCTACTCACCCCCACCCACCTACTCACCCCCACCCTCCTACTCACCCCCACCCTCCTACTCACCCTCACCCTCCTACTCACCCCCACCCTCCTACTCACCCCCACCCTCCTACTCACCCCCACCCTCCTACTCACCCCCACCCTCCTACTCACCCCCACCCTCCTACTCACCCCCACCCTCCTACTCACCCCCACCCACCTACTCACCCCTACCCACCTACTCACCCCCACCCTCCTACTCACCCCCCTTCTCCTACTCACCCCCACCCAACTACTCACCCCCACCCACCTACTCACCCCCACCCACCTACTCACCCCCACCCACCTACTCACCCCCACCCTCCTACTCACCCCCAACCCTCCTACTCACCCCCAACCTCCTACTCACCCCCACCCTCTAACCCCACCCTCCTACTCACCCCCACCCTCCTACTCACCCCCACCGACCTACTCACCCCACCCTCCTACTCACCCCCACCCACCTACTCACCCCTACCCTCCTACTCACCCCCACCCTCCTACTCACCCCTAACCTCCTACTCACCCTACCCTACTACTCACCCCACCCTCCTACTTACCCCCACCCACCTACTCACCCCCACCCTCCTACTCACCCCCACCCTCCTACTCACCCCCACCCTCCTACGCACCCCTACCCTCCTACTCACCCCTACCCTCGTACTCACCCTACCCTACTACTCACCCCACCCTCCTACTCACCCCCACCCACCTACTCACCCCCACCCTCCTACTCACCCCCACCCTCCTACTCACCCCCACCCTCCTACTCACCCACACCCACCTACTCACCCCTACCTACCTACTCACCCCCACCCACCTACTCACCCCCACCCACCTACTCACCCCCACCCACCTACTCACCCCCACCCACCTACTCACCCCCACCCACCTACTTACCCCCACCCACCTACTCACCCCCACCCTCCTACTCACCCCTACCCACCCTCACCCTCCTACTCACCCCTACCCACCTACTCACCCCTACCCACCCCCACCCTCCTACTCACCCCTACCCACCTACTCACCCCTACCCTCCAACTCACCCCCACCCTCCTACTCACCCCCAACCTCCTACTCACCCCCAAGCTCTTACTCACCCCTACCCTCCTACTCACCCCCAACCTCCTACTCACCCCCAAGCTCTTACTCACCCCTACCCTCCTACTCACCCCAAACCTCCTACTCACCCCCACCCACCTACTCACCCCCACCCTCCTACTCACCCCCACCCACCTACTCACCCCCCACCCTCCTACTCACCCCCACCCTCCTACTCACCCCCAACCTCCTACTCACCCCCAACCTCCTACTCACCCCTACCCACCAACTCACCCCCACCCTCCTACTCAACCCCACCCTCCTACTCACCCCCAACCTCCTACTCACCCCCAACCTCCTACTCACCCCCACCCACCTACTCACCCCCACCCTCCTACTCACCCCCACCCTCCTACTCACCCCCACCCTCCTACTCACCCCCACCCTCCTACTCACCCCCACCCTCCTACTCACCCCCACCCTCCTACTCACCCCCACCCTCCTACTCACCCCCACCCTCCTACTCACCCCCACCCACCTACTCACCCCCACCCACCTACTCACCCCCACCCACCTACTCACCCCCACCCTCCTACTCACCCCCACCCACCTACTCACGCCCACCCTCCTACTCATCCCACCCTCCTACTCACCCCACCCTCCTACTCACCCCTACCCACCCCCACCCTCCTACTCACCCCTACCCACCCCCACCCTCCTACTCACCCCTACCCACCTACTCACCCCTACCCACCTACTCACCCTTACCCTCCTACTCACCCCCACTCTACTACTTACCCCTACCCTCCAACATACCTCTAATCCTACCCTCTAAGCCTATCTCCCACCCTCCGAACTAAGCCTACCCCAAGCCTCTACCTTCCAATCTACCCATACTACTATCCCTCTAAGCCTACCTCCTAACCTTCAAAATACCCCTACCTTACGTCCTAAACTTCAACATACCCCGACCCTACCTCCTAACCTCCAACATACCCCTACCCTACTTCCTACCCTTCAACATACCCCTACCCTACCTCCTAACCTTCAACATACACCTACGCTACCTCCTACCCTTCAACATACACCTACCCTACCTCCTAACCTTCAACATACACCTACGCTACCTCCTACCCTCCAACATACCCCTACCCTACCTCCTAACCTTCAACATACCCCTACCCTACCTCCTACCCTCCAACATACCCCTACCCTACCTCCTAACCTTCAATATACCCCTACCCTACCTCCTACCCTCCAACATACCCCTACCCTACCTCCTACCCTCCAACATACCCCTACCCTACATCCAACATACCCCTACCCTACCTCCTACCCTTCAACATACACCTACCCTACCTCCTAACCTTCAACATACACCTACCCTACCTCCTACCCTCCAACATACCCCTACCCTACCTCCTAACCTTCAATATACCCCTACCCTACCTCCTACCCTCCAACATACCCCTACCCTACCTTTTACCCTCCAACATACCCCTACCCTACATCCTAACCTTCAACATACACCTACCCTACATCCTAACCTTCAACATACCCCGACCCTGCCTCCTACCCTCCAACATACCCCTACCCTACATCCTAACCTTCAACATACCCCTACCCTACCTCCTAACCTTCAACATACCCCTACCCTACATCCTAACCTTCAACATACCCCGACCCTACCTCTTAACCTTCAACATACCCCTACCCTACATCCTAACGTTCAACATACCCTCTAAGCCTAACCTCCTACACCCCAACCCTTCCCATCAGCCACGCGGCCTTCGTTCTCGGAGTGCAGAGGCATCTGTCGGTTCACCCGCGCAGATTCGAGAGAGCCCGACCCTGCTGATGAGACGCCAAATGACGAAGCCGGTGCGGAGCGTGGTGAACGCTTATTGGGTGTAGGTGGAGCAGAAGGAGCGTCGCCTCTCGTCACAATCATCAGCTAGTCCCCAGACTGTTGTCGATCAGGGCGGCGGTGACGCGCCTCCCACAGCAAGCATCGCCTGGGTTCGATTCCCGACTCGGGCGCCTCTCTCTCTGTGTGGATTCTGTTCCGTGTGTTCCTCTCCTGATCTCCAGTGTCTGTGTGTTGTCTGTGTGTTAGTGGGGGAGTGGTGGTGCAGTGGTAAGGGGCCGTCCATAAATGACGTCACGCGATTTTGGACGATTTTTGACCCCCCCCCCTTCGTCACACGGCGTCACAAAAAGTCAGACCCCCCTTCAAATATGACGTCACAAAGCTCTGCCCCCCCCCAAATAAAACATGCTTCAAATCGCTTTAAACTATTGTCATTGTAGTGCGTATTTAATGTGGCGCTGCACCCTGATGTTGTAGGAGAACACATTTAGTCAAAAGTCTATTTAATAAAGTAGAACGTGTTGTCTATATTTATTTAAAGTTGCGCATTTTGATGTGACGTCACATTTCTCAACCCCCCCTCGTCACACATCGTCAAATGTCTGACCCCCCCCCCCACCCTAGGTGCGTGACGTCATTATGGACGGCCCCTTGCGACTAGTTCAGCAATAACCGGTTGTGTTGGAGGGTTCGACCCACACTGACCAGGCTGATTGTTTTTGCTGTAATTACCGGCAAAATGTTACCAATTATTCAGATTGCAACAAACGTTGTGGGATGAAGTGGTAAGGGGCCGTCCATAAATGACGTCACGCAACTCGTACAGCACGGGAAAGGAGCGCTTCATGTCGGGCGCAGCAAACGGGACTCTGGGGCGAGGAGGAGACTTGCCGAGCCCAGCCAGCGCGTGGCTGGGCAGGAGTGAGACTGCAGCGTGGCGAGCCGGGAGAGCAAGCGGAGGGCATCACGGCTGACAGCACGAGGGCAGTGCACCGTGCCACTGCTGCCCGTTGTACCCCTGTGACTCGGGGAGGAGTTGGCATCTGCTGCTGCCAGGGTGTAGATACACTCAAGTTTATTTCAAAGCCTCTGTGTCCGGCCGATATTAATACAGATATACCTCTTCAAGACGAGTATCTGAGACTTCAGTTAATCGTGTGGCAACCCCCCCACACAACCCACCCACATCACAAAATCCCCCATTACGGGCAAAGAATGCCCTGGCTGGCAATAATTATTACAACTCGCCTTCTGCCCGTCCAAGGACGGGTGTATTGCAGTAAATCTGAAACTTTCAAGCGAAAATCAGTCCGTGGCGTGATATTCATTGCATCAATTTGTAAGGGCGCGGTGATAGACATTTCATGTAAAGGTTATAATCCCTTGTGCATCATGACGTCCTTTTGACTTTCATGTCTCAGCAGCGTCACGGACATCGCGTGACGTGAGGGTTCTGCCTTTGTAGTGAGGGACGCCATGGGGGGAGGCTTCCCTCGGCCCCTCATGTGGAGTGACGTCACCTGCTCATGATTATTAATGGGGGCTGGTTGACGGAGTGACGTCACGAGTGTTGCACACAGACATTTTTGGCTCATCGTAGGTAATAATAATGGGGGGTGTCCATTTGGAGGACGTCACCTGCTCATTAATATTAATTATGGGGGCTGGTCAATGTGGAGTGACGTCATGAGCGTTAAGGACAGACATTCGTGGGTGATTACAGTCGGTATTTGTAGGGGGCAGGTCGCGAAGTTTGAGGGAAGAGCAGAATCCGCCTCTCATTCTCCCAGGAGCCCTGTGACAACCGTATTCATTGGCTGTGTTGGGTGGTGGCAGGTTCACAACACATGTATATTTATGACATATAACCCCCCCCCCCAAAACCGTTTATGGATAATATTATGTCGCCAAAGCCCTACGATACTCGGGAGCTCTCTCGCCTACTTCAACAGTTCTCCTGCTGTAATTGTCTCACCTGATGACGATTGCTTGTGTTGCGATCAAAACGTCGTGATCTCTTATTTTCTACCCACGTGACTTTACCGAAAGAACCACAGAGTATGGACCTGCAGTCACGAAAGCTTCAAATCAAGATTAAAGCCCTACTACTCCTTAAACAGAAATACAATAAATAAGATTTGATGGCAGTTTCCCTGACCAGTAGTAGCAGCATCATCAACAGCAGCAGCAGCATCTCCAGAGCCGACAGGAGAGCAGGGAGTGGGCCAGCACTGGCTTCACACCAGCTGTCTGGGTCCACCACCAGCAAAAATGTCACCGCCACGTGGCACACCACATCCCAGTGTAGGTCCAGCGACGAGTCCATGGTGCCACCTGCTCGGGCCTGCCAGCCACCTAGTGAACGTTCAGCGAAAGGTGTAGGGGACGACGGTTAACATCTCGCCACGGTACCTAGGAGATGTTAACTACCTCGCCTGGTATACAGGAGGTCGTGGGTTCGATCCCGACCCTGATGCTTGTTGTATATTTGAAATTTACATGTTTTCCTCATGGTTGTGTGGATTTTTCTCCAGGTCCTCCGGTTTTCCCCTCTTCAATTAGAAACGTGCCTTTATAGTATTTGCTAGAAATGTGCACATGATAATCCACTTAGTTGAGCTATCTGTGATAGCCAGGTCACTTCTGAAAAAGAGCTACATAGGCTCAATAAATAAATAAAAAAGTGGTATAAATAGTCTGTTCTCCTATAATGCGGGAGTAGTTGCGTCGTTCCTGAAGAACACCGCATTATGGAAAAATCGCGTTTTTATAAATAATATATAATATAGGGGAGAAAAGCACAGTCTGCCATAACAGGGAGATGCGTACACAGGCCAAGCAAAGACTGAGGCGTCTGGGTCGTAGCATCTAGAAGCATCACAATGTCTTGTGTGCGATCATGCTACGCCGAGGCAGCCGTTAATACCGCTTAGTCCCTAACTACATTCATCATCGCGTTACATCCCAAATGGCTTAATGAAAACAACAACATGCGGAGTTATAGGAGAAACAGACTGTGGTAGTGGAGCCTTTCAGGCCACATTTCCCACTGGCATATCCGAGCCGAGCCACCGCGGGGCCAGCACAGTAGCGGTGGGTTTTTTTCCACTGGGGACTTTGCCTAATCGGGCTGGACTGAAAGCGAGCAGTCACGGCACACTGCTGCTACTGCAGTTGCCGCTGCTGCTGCCTCCAGGCTGGCTCGGCATGGCTCTGTTTGTGGAGTCGGGGAAAAACCGGGGGAGGGTGTGAGGAAGAGGCATCAGAGGCAATCGTGGCACAGCGCTAGCTGCCCCTTGAGAAAATCGCGGCAGGGGCAGACCCTGCCCCACGCGGCCCCAGCGCAGCTGAAGAGCAGCGGCTCCTTCTGCAGGAAGCAGCGGTGCTGGGAGCGGAGGAACGCCGGGTAGAGGTGGCTCTCCCCCTCCTCCAGTGCATCGCATCGTATGCCCAGCCTGAACCGGGGGGGATGGGGGTGCGGAGGGAGGAGGTGTCTCGGTGAACCGAGGCTTCCGCGCTGGTGCCGTACAGCAGTTGTCTTCTGGATGGCCGGCAAGATGTCCTGACGTTTCGGTCATCACCGTCGTTCCATCATCATAATCAATGTCATCGCCATGATGGAAAAAAATGGTCCTTTTAAAGGCCAAAAGATCAGCCAAAGAAGAGTGGGACCTGGATTACGAGTGTATCAACTAAATGTGGAAGGCCTCTCCCGTGTAAAGTGTAAGGTGCTCTTGACTTGAAGCTTTCGTGACTGCAGGAATTCATATTCTTTGGGTCTTTCGGTAAAGTCACGTAGATTTGTTCAAAGAAAATAACAACCAATCTACGTGACTTTACCGAAAGACCCAAAGAATATGAATTCCTGCAGTGGTTCATGGCTTCCTGGGCAATCACAAGGTCGAAAACTATTTGGAACTGGTTGAGACTGGTGAAGAATTACAGCACAATGGGCTGTAGGATGTCCCTTTAAAGTCCACATCCTTGATGCTCATCTTGATAAATTCAAGGAGAACATGTGAGCGTACTCGGAGGAGCAAGGTGAGCGCTTCCACCAGGATATACTGGACTTTGAACACCGCTACCAAGGACAGTAGAACGAGAACATGATGGGAGACTACATTTTGGGGCTGATTCGTGAAAGTGATTTACAGTATAATCGTAAATCTCGAAAAACTACTCACTTATCGATCTTTTGTAGTCATTTGTGTATTACTTTAGTATAAAAACTTATTAGTTTTGATTCATGTTGGTTTTTTCTGACTTTATGCGAACGAAAATACACAAATTCGCCCCTTTTCTCATTGAAAATAGGTACATTTAAAAATATCACTGTCCTGGGCACAAAAGCAAAGTTTGTGGGGAATAATAGCCATTTTCTAAAGTTTTTAGGCATAACCAATTAGGAAATAACACTTACTACCCAGGAACAAAAATGGTGTTACCTCGTGTTATTTGTATTTGTGCGAGGGAGGAGGAGTGCAAGGAGGAGAGACTGGACACCTGTTCAGCGCTCCTGGGGAGTTGAGAAGCTGGAAGAACGCCGGCTCGCACACCCAGCCCCGTGCGGCGCACGCGTCCACGCACGACACCGCCACAGCAGCCTCCGCCGAGTCCTCTCCATCCTCACCCCGCGATGGTGTCGTCACTGCACGCAGCGCTGAGTGAGGAGGCCATGCACGCAGTGCCCCAGGTGCACAGAAGTCCTGCATGCATGTAGACAGACAGAGAGAGAGGCGAAGAGACAGGCAGAGGGGGAGGCAGAGAGAGGCAGAGAGAGAGAGAGAGGCACACGCGTTGTGTGGTGGCAGACAGCCGGCCCCAAATAATAAAGAGAAACATCCTAAACTAAAACTGGAAAATTAAAAACTGTCCAGTGTGCGACTGTGGTCATCCAGAACAGACCATACAATGTATAACGACATCAATTTCCCCGATCCACGAATACGATTGAGACACCACAGTGACTATAAACTTCTGCTCCTGATTCGATGGTCTGGCTTGACCACGTGACTGTAAAATTGTAGTTGCTGCTCTGTACCTACTCTACATCAGCCGTACAAAATAAGAAGCGGTCAGCTGGCCCGACTTGGGAAGCATGATCGATACCTCCTCGCGGTGCATCCTGGTAACTTCTGGAGGGTTATTCCCCAGAAGGCCAAATCTATTAACCACTCCAAAACCAACCGCGTCTACCCAAGAAACGTGTGGACAACAACAGCCGGCACTGTCAATCCTCTCAATTAAAAGTGAAGATACTCACAGGCCAAAGCTGACATCCTGGCAGTTATATGAGAGGAGTATGATATTGTATACTTACAGGAGACACACAAAGGTCCTGAAACCCCCCGCCCAATCATTGAGGGGAAAGCACTCGTTGCTGAACAAGAGAGAGGCAGTATGGCAATGTAGTTTTTGCTAGACCTAACCTGAAGATTGAGAGTGCATAACCAATACAAGCAACAACAACATCAAAACCATCACACTTAGCCTCAAGAACATCGCTATAACACCCTTGTATAAACCACCATCAAGTACTAACGAGTGGAACATTTTACCGGATGGCTGCATACGCATGAAGAGCCTCGTGATGGAGGACTTCAATTCCCATAACACAGCTTGGGGATACGATGCCAACAACAATGATGGCACCCTCTAAGTGGAACAATGGGCAGAGTTCACTCACCTGATTCACCAGCAGCTGCGGGAGAAGAGGATACAACACAGACCTCAGTTTTGCAAGCAATGAAATTAGCCACATGTGCCGGAAAGCAGTACGAGAGCCCATACCTAAAACCCAACACCGCCAGATAAGCATAAAACCAGGGTCACAACAAACAGTGCAAAACACTCAATTTCGCAGACGATTCAACCTGAAAAAAGACAGAGGGATAGCCTTCACAGAGGCAGTGGAGGATTCAATCAAAGACATCACTCCCACCCATTGAAACCACCGCACTTTCATGAGCGCTGCGAAAATAAGTGCCTGCTGCTCCATCCCAAGGGGCTGCTGCACAAGATACATCCCAGGCATGTCAAGCACAATTTCTGAGCTGTATGCCCTCCATGAGGATGAATACCATCTCGACCCCTTCTCAGAATCCACCATTACGCTGGGAGAAAACCTAATAGACAATATAGGAGTCGAGTGACACAATTCTTGGTGAGAGATGATCGTGAATACCAATCTGACATGTAACAGCAAGAAAGCTTGGGCGACCAGAAGACAACAGGGAGGTGAGAACATCACACCTCCAGCCATGTAAAATGCTGCTGCGAACCAAGTTCCACAACTGCTCAACAATGGGAAGCGGTGGCAAAAAAAAAACACCGGAGAACACCATCACTGTATTATACCACCTGACAAGCAACCACCCAAGAGACTTAACACGCCCATGTACTAGAAGGATCTGACAGCCGGCAAAGGCCTTCTTAAACAGGGGAAGGCAGCAGGAGTGGATAATATACTCGTTGAGATGGCATAACACCTCGGACCTATTCAACAAATGTATGATGAGTAAACAGATACCATCAGTATGAGGGAAGGCAAGAGTCATAACTCTGCCCAAATCAGGAAAGACCTTTCATCACCAAAAAGCTATCGACCGATCTCCCTCCAAAGCATCACTGACATAACTTAAAGCTTTCGTGACTGCAGGAATTCAGATTCTTTTGGTCTTTTGGTAAAGCCACGTAGATAGAAAAAATTTAAAAAATTAAAATTACAACATTTCGATCGCTTGTGTCGCGATCGAAACGTCGCGATTTTGATTTTTGTTATTTATTTATATCTACGTGGCTTTACCAAAAGACCCAAAGATATCACTGAATTTCACTCTGGTAGATCTAAAACTCATACGAGACCAAGCGGGTTTCAGACCCGGCCAATCCTGTGCAGGCCAACTATTAAACATCACACAGCACATCGAAGATGGCTTGCAATAAAAGTTGATCATCGGCGAAGCGTTTGTTAATCTATCTGCTACATATGGCACTGTTCAATATTGTATCCCAGTCCACAAACTGCACCTCATGACTGGCGACCTAGATCTTAGCTCGGCCATTCATAGCCTCTTAGAGAACAGATGCTTCAACGTGGAGCTAAACGGGCAGAAAAGTAGATGGTGGTCTCAAAAGAATGGCTTACCACAGGGCAGTGTGCTCGCCCCACTTTTATTAAATATCAACACCAACGATCAGCCACTTCAATCTAGATTTGCAGATGATGACTGCTTGTGTTGCAATCGAAACGTCGTGATTTATTTTATTTTATACCTACGTGACTTTACTGACCAGCCATCTATGCACAGAGCAGAGGAATGTCGAGGACACAGAGAAGATCCTGAAAAGGGCACTGGATGAGATGTCAAGATACTCCCCAAATGATCATCTCAAACCCAACCTGGGTAAAACCCAAATCTGTGCCTTCCACCTGAGAAACCGGAATGCAGAGCGACACCTGAATGTCATCCTGGGGAGACCAGAGCCTCAAACACTCGAGTCACCCAATGTACTTCGGAGTAACGGTGGATCGTATACTCAGCTACAAAAAGCACACTTTAAATAGCAAAGCCAAGGTCAACACACAAAACATTCTGCGAAAGCTCACAAATTCAAAGTGGGGAGCACATCCATCTAATCGACACATCACTGCCTTAGTACTTTGTTTCTCTGTGGCTGAATATGCATGCTTCACCTGGGGACACTCAACTGACAGTAATTGTGTTGACACCACCCTAAACGATACGTGCAGAAACATACATACAGTGAGGGAAAAAAGTATTTGATCCCCTGCTGATTTTGTACGTTTGCCCACTGACAAAGAAATGATCAGACTATAATTTTAATGGTAGGTTTATTTGAACAGTCAGAGAGAATAACAACAAAAAAATCCAGAAAAACGCATGTCAAAAATGTTATAAATTGATTTGCATTTTAATGAGGGAAATAAGTATTTGACCCCTCTGCAAAACATGACTTAGTACTTGGTGGCAAAACCCTTGTTGGCAATCACAGAGGTCAGACGTTTCTTGTAGTTGGCCACCAGGCTTGCACACATCTCAGGAGGGATTTTGTCCCATTCCTCTTTGCAGGTCTTCTCCAAGTCATTAAGGTTTCGAGGCTGACGTTTGGCAACTCGAACCTTCAGCTCCCTCCACAGATTTTATATGGTATTAAGGTCTGGAGACTGGCTAGGCCACTCCAGGACCTTGATGTGCTTCTTCTTGAGCCACTCCTTTGTTGCTTTGGCCGTGTGTTTTGGGTCATTGTCATGCTGGAATACCCATCCACGACCCATTTTCAATGCCCTGGCTAAGGGAAGGAATTTCTCACCCAAGATTTGACGATAAATGGCCCCGTCCATCGTCCCTTTGATGCGGTGAAGTTGTCCTGTCCCCTTAGCAGAAAAACACCCGCAAAGCATAATGTTTCCACCTCCATGTTTGACGGTGGGGATGGTGTTCTTGGGGTCATAGGCAGCATTCCTCCTCCTCCTCCAAACACGGCGAGTTGAGTTGATGCCAAAGAGCTCCATTTTGGTCTCATCTGACCACAACACTTTCACCCAGTTGTCCTCTGAATCATTCACATGTTCATTGGCAAACTTCAGACGGGTATGTATATGTGCTTTCTTGAGCAGGGGGACCTTGCAGGCACTGCAGGATTTCAGTCCTCCACGGCGTAGTGTGTTACCAATTGTTTTCTTGATGACTATGGTCCCAGCTGCCTTGAGATCATTGACAAGATCCTCCCGTGTAGTTCTGGGCTGATTCCTCACCGTTCTCATGATCATTGCAACTCCACGAGGTGAGATCTTGCATGGAGCCCCAGGCCGAGGGGGATTGACAGTTATTTTGTGTTTCTTCCATTTGCGAATAATCGCACCAACTTCTCACCAAGCTGCTTGGCAATGGTCTTGTAGCCCATTTCAGCCTTGTGTAGGTCTACAATCTTGTCCCTGACATCCTTCGAGAGCTCTTTGGTTTTGGCCATGGTGGAGAGTTTGGAATCTGTTTGATTGATTGCTTCTGTGGACAGGTGCCTTTTATACAGGTAACAAGCTGAGATTAGGAGCACTCCCTTTAAGAGTGTGCTCCTAATCTCAGGTCGTTACCTGTATAAAAGACACCTGGGAGCCAGAAATCTTTCGGATTGAGAGCTGGTCAAATACTTATTTCCCTCATTAAAATGCAAATCAATTGATAACATTTTTGACATGCGTTTTTCTGGATTTTATTGTTGTTATTCTGTCTCTCGCTGTTCAAAGAAACCTACCACTAAAATTATAGACTGATCGTTTGTTTGTCAGTGGGTAAACGTACAAAATCAGCAGGGGATCAAATACTTTTTTCCCTCTCTGTAACAGGGTGCCTGACAGCCACCCTTGTTCCCTGCCTATATTGCACTAACTGGCATAGTGCCCCCCCTAACATCAGAAAGAGATTAGCAGGCAACCACGACCGGCAAGTCTGGACGTCTGCCAACTGATACGTGCCCATCAGCCAGCACCACCATCATCTCTCATCAAGAAACAGCTCCACTGTACCACTGACCAGAAATCTGCCAGAACTTCCCTCAAGTGACAAAGCTGCCAAATGGAGGCAGCGAAGATTCACCCCCAGTGAGGATCTTGCATCTAGCTCCAATTCCAAATGGCTCACATGGTGGAGCCTAAACAGACTGAGAGAGTGGGTTTCATACAACCCTGACCAATGTGCTTGTTAGGAGAAGCAAACCATGGATCATCTCCTGAGATGCCCTGCAGCACCACAATGCACTCCTCAAGGTTTGGCAATGCCAACACCAGAAGCAGTGGCCTGTGCAGAATATCGGGAAAAGACCGAATAGGCTGGACAAGAGACATGATGAAGAAGACCCAACTTAAAAAAAAACGATTAAAACTAAACTATTTTATTTTACCAGGTAGTAAGGCCTACTGAGCTATGTAGCTCTTTTTCAAAAGCAACCCGGTCACAAATCATATCTCAAGTCAACAAAGTGGCTCATCACGAGGACATTTATAGCAGCCAAATATTCTAAACATGTGATGTATATTCTAATCGTGGAGGGTAAAACTGGAAGACTCGGAGAAAAATACAGGCAGCCACGGGGAGAGAGACACACAAACTCCAAATTCAGTCTGTTCTACTATAACGCCACATGTTGTTTTCATAACGCAAATTGGACGTAACATGATGAATGTATTAGGAAACACATTTTTTAAACCACGGATGGGAATTGGATATCATGCGATTGAGTGAACAGAACTACAATGTGCGGGTAGGAATAAGTGTGTATTGATCTCTGTGGATCTCTGTGGGTCTCTGGTTATATACAAGTCTCTGTATCTCTGTGGGTCTCTGTGGGTCTCTGGTTATATACGAGTCTCTGTATCTCTGTGGGTCTCTGGTTATATACGATTCTCTGTATCTCTGTGGGTCTCTGTGGGTCTCTGGTTATATACGAGTCTCTGTATCTCTGTGGGTCTCTGTGGGTCTCTGGTTGTATACGAGTCTCTGTATCTCTGTGGGTCTCTGTGGGTCCCTGGTTATATACGAGTCTCTGTATCTCTGTGGGTCTCTGTGGATCTCTGGTTATATACGAGTGTCTGTATCTCTGTGGGTCTCTGTGGATCTCTGGTTATATACGAGTCTCTGTATCTCTATGGGTCTCTGTGGGTCTCTGGTTATATACGAGTCTCTGTATCTCTGTGGGTCTCTGTGGATCTCTGGTCATATACGAGTCTCTGTATCTCTGTGGGTCTCTGTGGGTCTCTGGTTATATACGAGTCTCTGTATCTCTGTGGGTCTCTGTGGGTCTCTGGTTATATACGAGTCTCTGTATCTCTGTGGGTCTCTGTGGATCTCTGGTTATATACGAGTCTCTGTATCTCTGTGGGTCTCTGTGGATCTCTGGTCATATACGAGTCTCTGTATCTCTGTGGGTCTCTGTGGGTCTCTGGTTATATACGAGTCTCTGTATCTCTGTGGGTCTCTGGTTATATACGAGTCTCTGTATCTCTGTGGGTCTCTTTGGGTCTCCTCCGTCCAATATTAGGAAGCCACTGGTAGCTACGCACTTTTAGATCATCATCGAGATTGAAAACTCATTTAATTAGAACTGCTTGTTTTTGTGTTTAGTTTGTTGTCCTTCCCCCCGGACCTATGATTAGCACCGTTGGCTACGTATGGTGCGCGAAATAAGTTGACACATACACACTCTATCCCCCACGCAGAAGGAACAGATGATATTAAATTAGCCACACTGCGCTCTGCTGGCGAGCCAGGGTATGGCACCTCCCAAACCCCCACGGGGATATGGAGGTATCCGTCACGGCGATCCGCCAACCCTCGCCAGCACATGGTGCTACCGCAGTGCTACCACAGTGCCACCGCAGTGTCACTGCAGCGCCACCGCATAGCCTACTCGCAGTGCCACTGCAGTGCCACTACGTCGCCCACACACAGTGCCACCACAGTGCCACCACGTCGCCCACACACAGTGCCACCACGTCGCCCACACACAGTGCCACCACGTCATCCACACACAGTGCCACCACGTCGCCCACACACAGTGCCACCACGTCGCCCACACGCAGTGCCACCGCAATGCCACCGCAGTGCCACCGCATCGCCACCACACCGTGCCACCGCAGTGCCACTGCAGTGCCACCATGTCTCCGAATCGTAATGCCACCACAGTGCCACCACATTGCCACCACGTCGCCCACACACATTGCCACACACAGTGCCACCACGTCGCCCACGCACAGTGCCACCACGTCGCCCACACAGTGCCACCACGTCCCACACACAGTGCCACCGCAGTGCCACCGCAGTGTCCCAACGCGGTGCCACCGCAATGCCGCTGCAGTGCCACCACAGTGGTGCCAGCGCGTCGCTCACCTGGTGACGCAGGTAGGCGTCCACGCGCTGCAGTGTGCCCTCAGCGGTGAACTCGAGCGGGACGTGGGGCGTGACTGAGGAGTGGGCGATCGCCCGCACGGCGCGCGCCACTTCGGCCGGGTCGCTCGCGTCCACGGTCCACACGTGCGGACGCCCCACCAACGTCTCCACATACGGGTGCTGCGACGTCAGCTGTGGCAGCGGCGGTGGCAGTGGTACGGAGACAAAGCGGTGTGAGTCCACATGTCTCTGAGTCTTTAGGTGTGATACCGTGTCCCTGTGTGGGTCTCCGTGTCTCTGTGTGTGAGTCTCCGTGTCTCTGTGTGTGAGTCTCAGTGTCTCTGTGTGTGAGTCTCCGTGTCTCTGTGTGAGTCTCCGTGTCTCTGTGTGAGTCTCCGTGTCAATGTGTGAGTCTCCGTGTCTCGGTGTGAGTCTCCGTGTCTCTGTGTGAGTCTCCGTGTCTCTGTGTGACTCTCCCTGTCTCTGTGTGAGTCTCCGTGTCTCGGTGTGAGTCTCTGTGTCTCTGTGTGTAAGTCTCCGTGTTTCTGTGTGAGTCTCCGTGTCTCTGTGTGAGTCTCCGCGTCTCTGTGTGTGAGTCTCCGTGTCTCTGTGTGTGAGTCTCCGTGTCTCTGTGTGTGAGTCTCCGTATCTCTGTGTGAGTCTCCGTGTCTCTGTGCGAGTCTCCGTGTCTCTGTGTGAGTCTCCGTGTCTCAGTGTGAGTCTCCGTGTCTCTGTGTGAGTCTCCGTGTCTCTGTGTGACTCTCCCTGTCTCTGTGTGAGTCTCCGTGTCTCGGTGTGAGTCTCTGTGTCTCTGTGTGTAAGTCTCCGTGTCTTTGTGTGAGTCTCCGTGTCTCTGTGTGTGAGTCTCCGCGTCTCTGTGTGTGAGTCTCCGTGTCTCTGTGTGTGAGTCTCCGTGTCTCTGTGTGTGAGTCTCTGTGTCTCTGTGTGTGAGTCTCCGTGTCTCTGTGTTAGTCTACGTGTCTCTGTGTGAGTCTCCGTGTTTTTGTGTGTGAGTCTCCGTGTCTCTGTGTGTGAGTCTCCGTGTCTCTGTGTGTGAGTCTCCGTGTCTCTGTGTGAGTCTAGGTGTCTCTGTGTGTGAGTCTCCGTGTCTCTGTGTGAGTCTCCGTGTCTCAGTGTGTGAGTCTCCGTGTCTCTGTGTGTGAGTCTCCGTGTCTCTGAAGTGTGAGTCTCCGTGTCTCTGTGTGTGAGTCTCCGTGTCTCTGTGTGACTCTCCCTGTCTCTGTGTGAGTCTCCGTGTCTCGGTGTGAGTCTCTGTGTCTCTGTGTGTGAGTCTCCGTGTCTCTGTGTGCGAGTCTCCGTGTCTCTGTGTGTGAGTCTCCGTGTCTCTGTGTGAGTCTCCGTGTCTCTGTGTGTGAGTCTCCACGTCTCTGTGTGTGAGTCTCCGTGTCTCTGTGTGTGTCTCCGTGTCTCTGTGTGTGAGTCTCCGTGTCTCTGTGTGTGCATCTCCGTGTTTCTGTGTTAGTCTCCGTGTCTCTGTGTGAGTCTCCGTGTCTCTGTGTGTGAGTCTCCGTGTCTCTGTGTGCGAGTCTCCGTGTCTCTGTGTGTGAGTCTCCGTGTCTCTGTGTGAGTCTCCGTGTCTCTGTGTGAGTCTCCGTGTCTCTGTGTGAGTCTCCGTGTCTCTGTGTGAGTCTCTGTGTCTCTGTGTGAGTCTCCGTGTCTCTGTGTGTGAGTCTCCGTGTCTCTGTGTGTGAGTCTCCGTGTCGCTGTGTGTGAGTTTCCGTGTCACTGTGTGTGAGTCTCCGTGTCTCTGTGCGAGTTTCCGTGTTTCTGTGTGAGTCTCCGTGTCTGTGTGTGTGAGTCTCCGTGTGAGTCTCCGTGTCTCTGTGTGTGAGTCTCCGTGTCTCTGTGTGTGAGTCTCCGTGTCTCTGTGTGCGAGTCTCCGTGTCTCTGTGTGAGTCTCCGTGTCTGTGTGTGAGTCTCCGTGTCTCTGTGTAAGTCTCCGTGTCTCTGTGTGAGTCTCCGTGTCTCTGTGTGTGAGTCTCCGTGTCTCTGTGTGAGTCTCCGTGTCTCTGTGTGAGTCTCCGTGTCTCTGTGTGTGAGTCTCCGTGTCGCTGTGTGTGAGTTTCCGTGTCACTGTGTGTGAGTCTCCGTGTCTCTGTGCGAGTTTCCGTGTTTCTGTGTGAGTCTCCGTGTCTGTGTGTGTGAGTCTCCGTGTGAGTCTCCGTGTCTCTGTGTGTGAGTCTCCGTGTCTCTGTGTGTGAGTCTCCGTGTCTCTGTGTGCGAGTCTCCGTGTCTCTGTGTGAGTCTCCGTGTCTGTGTGTGAGTCTCCGTGTCTCTGTGTAAGTCTCCGTGTCTCTGTGTGAGTCTCCGTGTCTCTGTGTGTGAGTCTCCGTGTCTCTGTGTGAGTCTCCGTGTCTCTGTGTGAGTCTCCGTGTCTCTGTGTGTGAGTCTCCACGTCTCTGTGTGTGAGTCTCCATGTCTCTGTGTGTGAGTCTCCGTGTCTCTGTGTGTGAATATCCATGTCTCTGTGTGAGTCTCCGCATCTCTGTGTGCGAGTCTCCGCGTCTCTGTGTGTGAGTCTCCGTGTCTCTGTGTGTGAGTCTCCGTGTCTCTGTGTGAGTCTCCGTGTCTCTGTGTGTAAGTCTCCGTGTCTCTGTGTGTGAGTCTCCGTGTCTCTGTGTGTGAGTCTCCGTGTCTCTGTGTGTGAGTCTCCCTGTCTCTGTGTGAGTCTCCGTGTCTCTGTGTGTGAGTCTCCGTGTCTCGGTGTGTGAGTCTCCGTGTCTCTGTGTGTGAGTCTCCGCGTCTCTGGGTGTAAGTCTCCGCGTCTCTGTGTGTGAGTCTCCGTGTCTCTGTTTGTGAGCCTCCGTGTCTCTGTGTGTGAGTCTCCGTCTCTCTGTGTGAGTCTCCGTGTCTCTGTGTGTGAGTCTCCGTGTCTCTGTGTGTGAGTCTCCGTGACTCTGTGTGTGAGTCTCCACGTCTCTGTGTGTGAGTCTCCGCGTCTCTGTGTGTGAGTCTCCGTGTCTCTGTGTGTGAGTCTCCGTGTCTCTGTGTGTGAGTCTCCGTGTCTCTGTGTGTGAGTCTCCGTGTCTCTGTGTGAGTCTCCCTGTCTCTGTGTGAGTCTCCGTGTCGCTGTGTGTGAGTTTCCGTGTCACTGTGTGTGAGTCTCCGTGTCTCTGTGCGAGTTTCCGTGTCCCTGTGTGAGTCTCCGTGTCTCTGTGTGTGAGTCTCCGTGTGAGTCTCCGTGTCTCTGTGTGTGAGTCTCCGTGTCTCTGTGTGTGAGTCTCCGTGTCTCTGTGTGTGAGTCTCCGTGTCTCTGTGTGAGTCTCCGTGTCTCTGTGTGAGTCTCCGTGTCTCTGTGTGAGTCTCCGTGTCTCTGTGTGAGTCTCCGTGTCTGTGTGTGTGAGTCTCCGCGTCTCTGTGTGTGAGTCTCCGTGTCTCTATGTGTGAGTCTCCGTGTCTCTGTGTGACTCTCCCTGTCTTTGTGTGAGTCTCCGTGTCTCGGTGTGAGTCTCTGTGACTCTGTGTGAGTCTCCGTGTCTCTGTGTGTGAGTCTCCGCGTCTCTGTGTGTGAGTCTCCGTGTCTCTGTGTGTGAGTCTCCGTGTCTCTGTGTGAGTCGCCGTGTCTCTGTGTGAGTCTCAGTGTCTCTGTGTGAGTCTCCGTGTCTCTGTGTGTGAGTCTCCGTGTCTCTGTGTGCGAGTCTCCGTGTCGCTGTGTGTGAGTTTCCGTGTCACTGTGTGTGAGTCTCCGTGTCTCTCTGCGAGTTTCCGTGTCTCTGTGTGAGTCTCCGTGTCTGTGTGTGAGTTTCCGTGTGAGTCTCCGTGTCTCTGTGTGTGAGTCTCCGTGTCTCTGTGTGTGAGTCTCCGTGTCTCTGTGTGTGAGTCTCCGTGTCTCTGTGTGTGAGTCTCCGTGTCTCTGTGTGAGTCTCCGTGTCTCTGTGTGTGAGTCTCCGCGTCTCTGTGTGTGAGTCTCCGTGTCTCTGTGTGTGAGTCTCCGTGTCTCTGTGTGTGAGTCTCCGTGTCTCTGTGTGAGTCTCCGCGTCTCTGTGTGTGAGTCTCCGCGTCTCTGTGTGTGACTCTCCGTGTCTCTGTGTGTGAGTCTCCGTGTCTCTGTGTGCGAGTCTCCGCGTCTCTGTGTGAGTCTCCGTGTCTCTGTGTGTGAGTCTCCGTGTCTCTGTGTGTGAGTCTCCGTGTCTCTGTGTGTGAGTCTCCATGTCTCTTTGTGTGAGTCTCCGTGTCTCTGTGTGTGAGTCTCCGTGTCTCTGTGTGAGTCTCCACGTCTCTGTGTGTGAGTCTCCGCATCTCTGTGTGTGAGTCTCCGTGTGTCTGTGTGTGAGTCTCCGTGTCTCTGTGTGTGTCTCCGTGTCTCTGTGTGTGAGTCTCCGTGTCTCTGTGTGAGTCTCCGTGTCTCTGTGTGTGAGTCTCCGTGTCTCTGTGTGTGAGTCTCCGTGTCTCTGTGTGAGTCTCCGTGTCGCTGTGTGTGAGTTTCCGTGTCACTGTGTGTGAGTCTCCGTGTCTCTGTGCGAGTTTCCGTGTCTCTGTGTGAGTCTCCGTGTCTCTGTGTGTGAGTCTCCGCGTCTCTGTGTGTGAGTCTCCGCGTCTCCGTGTCTCTGTGTGTGAGTCTCCGTATCTCTCTGTGTGAGTCTCCGTGTCTCTGTGTGAGTCTCCGTGTCTGTGTGTGAGTCTCCGTGTCTCTGTGTGAATCTCCGTGTCTCTGTGTGTGAGTCTCCGTGTCTCTGTGTGTGAGTCTCCGTGTCTCTGTGTGTGAGTCTCCGTGTCTCTGTGTGAGTCTCCGTGTCTCTGTGTGCGAGTCTCCGTGTCTCTCTGTGTGAGTCTCCGTGTCTCTGTGTGTGAGTCTCCGTGTCTCTGTGTGTGAGTCTCCGTGTCTCTGTGTGTGAGTCTCCGTGTCTCTGTGTGAGTCTCCGTGTCTCTGTGTGAGTCTCCGTGTCTCTGTGTGTGAGTCTCCATGTCTCTGTGTGTGAGTCTCCGCGTCTCTGTGTGTAAGTCTCTGCATCTCTGTGTGTGAGTCTCCGTGTCTCTGTTTGTGAGCCTCCGTGTCTCTGTGTGTGAGTCTCCGTGTCGCTGTGTGAGTCTCCGTGTCTCTGTGTGTGAGTCTCCGTGTCTCTGTGTGTGAGTCTCCGTGTCTCTGTGTGTGAGTCTCCGTGTCTCCGTGTGAGTCTCCGTGTCTATGTGTGTGAGTCTCCGTGTCTCTGTGTGTGAGTCTCCGTGTCTCTGTGTGTGAGTCTCCGCGCCTCTGTGTGTGAGTCTCCGCATCTCTGTGTGTGAGTCTCCGTGTCTCTGTGTGTGAGTCTCCGTGTCTCTGTGTGTGAGTCTCCGTGTCTCTGTGTGTGAGTCTCCGTGTCTCCGTGTGAGTCTCCGTGTCTCTGTGTGTGAGTCTCCGTGTCTCTGTGTGAGTCTCCGTGTCTCTGGGTGAGTCTCCGTGTCTCTGTGTGTGAGTCTCCGTGTCTCGATGTGTGAGTCTCGGCATGCGAGTCCACGTCTCTGCATTTGAGTCCGCCTGTAACTGTGTGCGGGTCCAGGTGTCTCTGCTAAGTCCACATGAGTCCGTTGTCTCTGTGTGTGCGTCCGCGCGTCTTTGCGCCTGAGTCCGCGTGTCTCTGCGTGTGAGTCCACGTGTCTCTGCGTGTCAGTCCGCATGTCTTTGCACGCGAGTCCACATGTTTCTGTGTGTGGGTCGCGTGCCTCTACGTGTGAGTGTCCATGTGCGAGTCCCCATGTCTCTGGGTGTGATACCGCGTCTGTGTGCGAGTCCCCGTATCTTTTAGTATGATAACGTATCACAGTGTGTTAGTCTCCATGTCTCTGTGTGTAAGTATCAGTGTGTGAGTCCACATGACTGCGTGTGTCTCTGCGTGTGAATCCGCGTTTCTTTGCGCATGAGTCTGCATGTCTCTGCATGAGTCTGCGTGTCTCTGCGCGTGAGTCTGCGTGTGTCTCTGCGCGTGAATCCACGTGTCTCTGCATGTGAGTCCGCGTGTCTCTGCGTGTGAGTCCGCGTGTCTCTGCGTGCAAGCCCGCGTGTCTCTGCGCGTAAGTCCGCGTGTCTCTGCGCGTGAGTCCGTGTGTCTCTGCGCGTGAGTCCACGTGTCTCTGCGCGTGAGTCCGCGTGTCTCTGCGCGTGAGTCCGTGTGTCTCTGCGCTTGAGTCCGCGTGTCTCTGCGCGCGAGTCCACGTTTCTCTGTGTGCGAGTCTGCGTGTCTCTGTGTGTGAGTCCGCGTGTCTCTGGGTGTGATACTGTGTCTCTGCACGCGAGTCTCCATGTCTCTGTGCGAGTCGCAGTGTGTGAGTCCACGTGACAGTGTGTATCTCTGCGTGCGAGTCAGTGTGTCTCTGCATGCGAGTTCGCGTGTCTCTGTGTGTGAGTCCACGTGTCTCTGTGTGCGAGTCTCCATGTCTCTGTGTGAGTCTTAATGTGTAAGTCCACGTGACTGTGTGTGTCTCTGCGTGTGAATCCGCGTTTCTTTGCGCGTGAGTCCGCGTGTCTCTGCGTGCGAGTCCACGTGAGTCTGTGTGTGTGAGTCTCCATGTCTCTGTGTGTGAGTCTCCATGTCTCTGTGTGTGAGTCCACATCTCGATGTGTGTCTCTGCATGAGTCCACGTATCTCTGCGCGTGAGTCCGCGTGTCTCTGTGTGCGAGTCCACATGTCTTTGTGTGTGAGTCCACATGCCTCTATGTGTGTCTCTGCATGATTCCATGTGTCTCTGCGTGAGTATGTGTGTCTTTGCGTCTGAGTCCGTGTGTCTCTGCGTGAGTCCCTACGCGCAAGTCCACGTGTCTCTGTGTGAGTCCACATGTCTCTGCGGGAGTCCACGTGTCTCTGCGTGAGTCCACGTGTCTCTGCGTGAGTCCACGTGTCTCTGCGTGAGTCCACGTGTCTCTACATGAGTCCACGTGTCTCTGTGTGAGTCCGCATGTCTCTGCGTGAGTCCACGTGTCTCTGCGTGAGTGCACGTGTCTCTGCGTGAGTCCACGTCTCTACATGCGAGTCTTTGCGCATTTCTGCGTGCGAGTCAAAGCGTGTCTCTGCGTGCGAGTCTACGCACGTCTTTGCACATGCGAGTCTGCGCGCATGTCTCTGCATACCAGGCGAGCGGTGGGCTTGCCCTGGAAGAAGGCTGTGTGGTTCGACGAGTGTGGGGGGCTGAACCGTGGCAGGAGCACAGCACAGCCACTGGCGATCGCCTCCAGCGGGGCCGGACCCTCGTAAGGGAAGCCCAGCCCCACGAACAGCTGAGGGACACGCACATGGCAGCCGGGGTCACTCCACTGCTGGATGAGGCCTGCCAAATCTACCGCCGTCACTCACCATCACCCCATGGGAGAATATAGGTCTATGTGTGAGTCTATGGGTCTCTGTGTGAGTCTATGCGTCTCTGTGTGAGTCTATGGGTCTCTGTGTGAGTCTATGGGTCTCTGTGTGAGTCTATGGGTCTATGTGTGAGTGTATGGTTCTCTGTGTGAGTCTATGGGTCTCTGTATGAGTCTATGGGTCTCTGTATGAGTTATGGGTTTCTGTGTGAGTATATAGGTATCTGTGTGAGTCTATGGGTCTCTGTATGAGTCTATGAGTTTCTGTATGAGTCTATGGGTCTCTGTATGAGTCTATGAGTTTCTGTATGAGTCTATGGGTCTCTGTGTGAGTCTATAGGTCTCTGTGCGAGTCTATAGCTCTCTGTGTGAGTCTATAGGTCTCTGCGTGAGTCTATAGGTCTCTGTGTGAGTCTATGGGTCTCTGTATGAGTCTATAGGTCTCTGTATGAGTCTATGGGTCTCTGTATGAGTCTATGGGTTTCTGTGTGAGTATATAGGTCTCTGTGTGAGTATATAGGTCTCTGCGTGAGTCTATAGGTCTCTGTGTGAGTCTATGGGTCTCTGTATGAGTCTATAGGTCTCTGTATGAGTCTATGGGTTTCTGTATGAGTCTATGGGTCTCTGTATGAGTCTATGGGTCTCTGTGTGAGTATATAGGTCTCTGTGTGTCTATAGGTCTCTGTGTGAGTCTATAGGTCTCTGTGTGAGTCTATAGGTCTCTGTATGAGTCTATGGGTTTCTGTGTGAGTATATAGGTATCTGTGTGAGTCTATGGGTCTCTGTATGAGTCTATAGGTCTCTGTATGAGTCTATGGGTTTCTGTATGAGTATATGGATCTCTGTATGAGTCTATAGGTATCTGTATGAGTCTGTGGGTCTCTGTATGAGTCTATAGGTCTCTGTATGAGTCTATAGGTCTCTGTATGAGTCTATAGGTCTCTGTATGAGTCTATGGGTCTCTGTATGAGTCTATGGATCTCTGTATGAGTCTATGGGTCTCTGTATGAGTCTATGGGTCTTTGTGTACATCCCATTTGGTAATCCAAATGAGACGTAAGTGGCAATCCAAATGGGATTCAATTGGCAATGCAAATGGGATTTAAGTGTAACTGAACCTTGGCTCGCTGTAGCAGTGCCTGCAGCTGTGGCTGGGCCAGGAGGCCGTGGTTAGTGACGAAAGCAGGCAACGTGGAGATGGCTCCCGGCGGCTGGTACACCGTGGCGTGCAGATCCATCTGTTCTGCTATGACTCGCAGGTATGGCTCCTTGCCCTGGACAGACGCAGAGAGACACAGAGAGAGATATGGAGAGAGACAGAGACAAAGAGAGACACAGATGCAGAGGCACAGAGAGATGGAGAGAGACACAGAGAGACAAAGAGAGACAGAGTGAGAGAGAGAGAGATGGCTCTCTGGGGCTGGTACACCGTGGCGTGCAGATCCATCTCCTCTGCTATCATTCGCAGGTATGACTCCTTGCCCTGTACAGACGCAGAGAGACAGAGAGATGGAGAGATACACAGAGAGGCGACAGAGAGAGAGAGAGACACAAAAAGAGAATGAGACACATAGAGAGATGGAGACACAAAGAGACAAAGACAGAGAGAGAGACAGAGACAGACAGTGATGTGGCCCAGCAGGAGCACGTACGCCTCTTGTGGGTGCCACAGTGACTAGGAGATGTTAACTACCTCACCTGGTATACAAGAGGTCGTGGGTTCGAACTGTCAAATCGCTCTCCGTGGTGCTAACGTTAAAAAAACAAAACGCCACTTTTTTCAAATTTTCTTGCTGTGTTTTCCACACCTGATGATGATTGCTTGTGTTGCAGTCGAAACGTCGTGATAATGTTATTGTTTTATATTTTTATTATTTTATTGTTTCCCTTCTACGTGACTTTACCGAAAGAACCAAGAATATAAAAAAATAGTTTTAATTTAGTTTTAGTGTAACTGGGATCACATAGAAGCAGCATCAGCTGCAGCAGCGGCATCACGAGGGGTCCCAGGGTCACCTGGTAGGGTCACCTGGTAGGGTTACCTGTCAGGGTCACCTGTCAGGGTCACCTGGTAAGGTCACCTGGTAGGGTTACCTGTCAGGGTCACCTGGTAGGGGTACCTGGTAGGGTTACCTGGTAGGGTCACCTGGTAGGGTCACCTGGTAGGGTCACCTTTTAGGGTTACCTGTCAGGGTCACCTGTCATGGTCACCTGGTAGGGTCACCTGTCAGGGTCACCTGTCAGGGTCACCTGGTAGGGTCACCTGTCAGGGTCACCTGGTAGGGTCACCTGGTAGAGTCACCTTGCAGGGTCACCTGGTAGGGTCACCTGGTAGGGTCACCTGGTAAGGTCACCTGGTAGGGTCACCTGCAAAGGTCACTACTCCCAGGTTTACCTCCCAGGGTCACCTTTCCCAGGTTCCCCTCCCAGGGTCACCCCTCAGGGTTACCTGCCACATGGACTCTGCCTTGCCGTAGACGAGCGCCATGCGGGCATCCTTTGGCGTCTCTGCGGCCTCCTCCTCCTCTGGGATGGCGCTCACGAAGCCCAGGAATGAGTTGTCTGGCGTGTGTGCTGTCACACAAACAAACACACGCACGCACGCAGGCACACACATGCATGCAGACACACACGCACGCAGACACACACACACGCACACACCCACACGCAAACAAACACGCACGCAGACACACACGCACGCACGCAGACACACACACGCGCGCAGACACACACGCGCACGCAGACACACACGCGCACGCAGACACACACACGCACACAACAACAACCGCCATTCGCCACTAAGTGGCGGTGATGACACCATGACGCTTGTGCCAGGCTATGTGCACCTTGAGGTTACGTGCAGTGTCGAACGCCCACGGGCAGGAGGTCACGGGGCAGACCCAGGTGCCACGGGTCGACTGACTGAGATGACTGGCTGATGCACCACCTGTGCCCCCTACTGTGCCAACCTGCTGTGTTTTAGCCACCCGGTGCTCCGCTCGTTGTTGTGAGCATCGCTCCTCCGCCCTCCGTTGTTGTTGGAGGGCGACTGCCTCCAACTGCCCAGTAGCATCCTTCACGAGCCTCCTCCACAGAGGCCGATTTTGACACCGCTGGTACCAGTCATCGGCAAGTCCACTCAGCTCCACGTCCTGCTGTACCACGTCACTCCATCTCTTCTCTAGCCCGTGCCGCGCCCGTTTAGCCCCCTCGATCCGGCCGAACAAAAGCTGTTTCGGCATGCGGTGGCTGGGCATGCGGGCTACATGACCCAGCCAACGCAGCCTTGCCTGCCAGAGGTGCTCACCGATGGGACCGTGCCCAGATCTTTCAAGGATTTGTGAGCTCCTCACACAATCCAGCCTGGTTAAACCCAGGATGGATCGTAGGCAGGCCAGTCTAAATGTTTCTAACTGGCGAAGATATTCCATTAGGGGGGTCCACGTTTCGCAAGTGTAGAGAAGGGAGGGGATGACCGTGGCCGAGAAGACCTGAAGCTTAGTGTGGAGCGATAGACCAGGTAGCTTCCACACAGCGTTACGCAACCGATGAAAAGATATTGCCGCTCGACTGATTCGGAGTGAGACCTCTGCTGTTAAACTGGAGCCGGTCATAAGCACACTGCCCAGGTATGGGAAACTCTCCACTCTTTCCACAACTGCCCCATCACCGATTGGGAGTTGTGGGGGTGGAGTGTCCGATGGTACAAAATACCCAGGCAGGTGCTTAGTTTTGGTGGGGCTGATGGTAAGGCCCCATCTCTTAGTAGGACGCTCCAGTCTCAGCAGCAGCGTCTCCAACTCCTCCTCTGAATGAGTAGCTATTACCAAATCATTGGCATACGTAGTGTAGTTGAGCAATAGGGAGCCATCCCTTGACCGCACCTAGGCATCGATCAGCCTCCCATTATATCTGTACCAAATGGAGATTCCCCCGGTACAGCTATTGAAGGCTTCACGAACAACGTGGTCAAAATAGATGTTAAATAATGTGGGAGCCAGAGTACATCCCTGTCGCACCCCAAGGTATACAGGGAATGGCTCTGACTCCCGGCCACGTAGTTTTACCCGGGCCCGCTCACCATCAAAAAGGTCCTTAATGATCGTGAGCAGAGGGTCAGGTACTCCAAAAGCATGAAGAACAACCCAGAGCCCAGGCCTACTGATGGTATCATAGGCCTTGACCAGGTCAATAAAGCAGAGATGTAGGTCTTGCTGGAATTCCCAACACCTCTGCTGTAGCAGACGGACAGAAAATATGGCATCTGTGCAGGACCGCCCTTTCCTGAAACCGCATTGGGGCTCCGTACGCCTCTCCTCAGCGTGCCTGGAAAGGCGATGTTGAATAATCCTTGCCAGGACCTTTCCCAGCACACTGAGGAGTGAGATGCCCCTGTAGTCGTTACAGTCTGTGCGGTTCCCCTTCTTAAAGAGGGGGACCACCAGGGCATCCTTCCAATCCTGTGGAACCCGTCCAGTGGTCCAGACTGTTGTTATGATGTCATATAGGGCAGTCTGTGCATTTCGCTTGGGAGATCATCTCTGCCCGCTGCCTTTCCTGGTCTCAGACTCTGGATCGCCTTCAGTACTTCCTCAACAGATGGCACTTCAGCCAGCCACTCACAGGGGGTGACTTCTTCTAATATTTGAGGCACCACAGCCTCAGCAGGGTCATCCTCAATTCGTGCCACGACGTTTTCCTGGCTGAGGGATTTTCCCTTCCCCAGGACCTCACAGAAATGCTCAGCAAATCTGCAAACCTGTTCCTGGGGGTCGGATATTGGATGACCTTTTTTCCCCTCATGATGGTAATAGGTGTGGCACTGCAGGTTACTTTTTTGATGGAGCTAAATAAAGATTTGTGATTGCGGGCCACTGAGGCAGACTCCATATCCTCAGCAACCCGCGACCACCACCCATCCTTGCAGCGCTTCACGGCTCTCCGAACCTCCGAGCGAAGGCTGCGGTAAGCCTCCTCATTCTCTGACGTGGGATGCTGTGTAGACGATTAGAATGGCCCTGTCGCTTTTTCTCAACCATCCTGAACACCTCCTCTGTCAGCCAGGGTCTCTGGGGAGGTCTGGACCGCGTACCCAAAGCAGCCATTGCAGCTGCATGAGTCACAGTCCTAAACCTCGCCCATTTACCCTCGACATCAGTAGGAGTGGGGGACGATGCCAACCCCAGCCGCAACCGATGATGAAATTCTCGCTTGCAACTTTCATCAGATAACTGAGACCAGGCCACTTCAGGTTGGAATGGGGTCCTGGGTGTACACCCACCACCGCAGTGGAAGAATGTCAGGCGCATCTTACAGATGACTAGTCGATAGTCAGAGGGAAGATCAGCTCCACGGTAGGTCCTGGTGTCAAGGACATGGGCTCGCATCCGCTGGTCCGCCACTATGTAGTCCAGCAGATGTTCTTTCTTGGACCTGGCATGCATCCATGATGTTGTGTGGATGCGCCGACGCCGGAACAGCGTGTTGGTAATTACAAGCCCATGGGCTGCACAAAAATCTAGCAGCCTCCTACTGTTGTTATTGAGCTGATCTGGCCCATGCCCTCCAATCACTCCAGACCAGGTGCCAGCATCATGACCAACTTGGGCATTGAAGTCACCCAACAAGATGACTCTATCCCTAGGGGCCACTTTAGCCAGCACCTGTGACAGGAGGTCATAGAAGGCATCTGATTCATCGGCTTTGCCTGCATCCCTCCACGGATGTTCGTCTTCGGTGGGTGTAAAAGTAACCACGACCACCACTCCTCACCTCCGGTTGATGGGAAGGCGAGCCCAAAGTAGCCTGGGGCTTACAGCTTCCCACACCTCACCGCCACGCTCCCACGCCCCCTTCATTCTTTTGTTCAGAAGAAGAGCCACACTCTGTTGTTTGGCAGTCTGCTGCTCCGAGTAGAGGACTGTCCACCCCTCATGGTGGCAGGAGCCAGAACCGGTCCACCGGACCTCCTGAATGCCACAGAGATCCAGGCGGTACCGGTCCAGCTCCCGACAGAGGAGTGGCAGCCTCTCCTTCGCAGTGAGCGTTCGAACATTCCACGTGGCCATCCAAAGTGGCTTCTAGATTTGAAGCTTTCGTGACTGCAAGGATCCACTCTTTGATTCTATTCGGTAAAGTCACGTAGGTAAAAAATAAAACAACAAAAATCACGACGTTTCGGCCACAACACAAGCGGCCTTCATCAGGTGAAGGGACCAGACTGTCTTGAGGACAGCGCTGGAGTGAAACACAGCCAAAACCCTCCCCGTAGAGGCTATCAATTAATTGATACCCTCTACGGGGAGGGTTTTCACCTATTTGTGAGAGCTTTTAACAGACAACGGGACAAGAAGTCACAGCTCATCGAGACGCTGACCTTCCTCAAAAGATGCTGCGACCACAAAGTAATACCCATCGCCTTCTCACACAGCTTAAAGGTCACGGTCTGAGCTTGGCTGTGTTTCACTCCAGTGCTGTCCTTGAGACAGTCTGGTTCCTTCACCTGATGAAGGCTGCTTGTGTTGTGGCCGAAATGTCGTGATTTTTGTTGTTTTATTTTTTACCTATGTGACTTTACCGAATAGAACCAAAGACCTTTTCGTTGTTTCTGGAGGAGCCCCGAGGGTAGAGATCAATCTCCTGGCTCCGCCAATTGGGGTTTGGCCAGGAGACGTCATAGACGCCTGTCCCCCCGGGGCCTCCGGCACAAGCTTATTTATAGTTACATATTTCAGTCATAGTTTAGTGGTAATTAATTGAAGGTGGAGGGGTTACCAGCCCCTCACACCCGTCCAGAGCCCCCATTTAGCCACTGTGGTGGACACAGACGCCATGAGGAGAGGAGCCAATCGGAATTGGCCCTCCCCCCACAGCACTGTCCACAACAGAGTTGCCCGTCATGGCACCGCGAGGAGGTAGGGGGTTGTTTTGTCACACACACCCATACGCATGCAGACACCCACACGCACGCAGACACACACACGCGCGCAGACACACGCACACACACGCACACACCCACACGCACGCAGACACACAAACACGCACGCGCGCAGACACACGCGCACACACACACACCCAGACACACGCACGCACAACAAACGCACACGCACAAACACGCACAAACACACACAGGCAAAGGTCCCCCTTGTAGCCCACACGCACGCAGTCCATCTCCCTCAGTCGCCCGGCCACATTTGTCTCTCCAGAGCCGATGTCTACGTACACTACACTGGGTCCTCATTTCGGGCCGAGACGACCTAGGGGAGGCCCAGGATCAGTTCAAAGATTCGCTGCCACTGATGTTGGCCGGGAGCGGGAAGCAAACTCGCCTCGGGGGGCTTGCAGCACGCAGCACACGAGCAACGACACAAAAACACTCACTCACACTCCTTCACACTCACAGAACACGGAGAGGACACAGAAACACTCACTCACACTCGTTCACACTCACAGAACACGGAGAGGACACAGAAACACTCACTCGCTCGCTCACTCACACTCCTTTACACTCACAGAACAAGGTGAGGACACAGAAACACTCACTCGCTCGCTCACTCACACTCCTTCACAATCACAGAAGAAGGTGAGTAACTGGGTACTCAGGGAACTCGGTGAGTAACTGGGTACTCAAGGAACACGGTGAGTAACTGGGTACTCAGGGAACACGGTGAGTAACTGGGTACACAGGGAACACGGTGAGTAACTGAGGACTCAGGGAACACCGTGAGTAACTGGGGACTCAGGAACACGGTGAGTAACTGGGTACTCAGGAACACGGTGAGTAACTGGGTACTCAGGGAACACGGTGAGTAACTGGGTACTCAGTGAACACGGTGAGTAACTGGGTACTCAGTGAACATGGTGAGTAACTGGGTACTCAGGGAACATGGTGAGTAACTGGGTACTCAGGAACACGGTGAGTAACTGAGTACTCAGGGAACATGGTGAGTAACTGGGGACTCAGGAACACACTGAGTAACTGGGTACTCAGGGAACACGGTGAGTAACTGAGTACTCAGTGAACACGGTGAGTAACTGGGTACTCAGGGAACACGGTGAGTAACTGGGTACTCAGTGAACACGGTGAGTAACTGGGTACTCAGGGAACATGGTGAGTAACTGGGGACTCAGGGAACACCGTGAGTATCTGGGGACTCAGGGAACACGGTGAGTAACTGGGTACTCAGGGAACACGGTGAGTAACTGGGTACTCAGGGAACACGGTGAGTAACTGGGTACTCAGGGAACACCGTGAGTAACTGGGTACTCAGGGAAGACCGTGAGTAACTGGGGACTCAGGAACACGGTGAGGTACTGGGTACTCACGGAACATGATGAGTAACTGGGTACTCAGGGAACACGGTGAGTAACTTGGGACTCAGGAACACGGTGAGTAACTGGGTACTCAGGGAACACGGTGAGTAACTGGGTACTCAGTGAACACGGTGAGTAACTGCGTACTCAGGGAACACGGTGAGTAACTGGGTACTCAGGGAACACGATGAGTAACTGGGTACTCAGGGAACACGGTGAGTAACTTGGGACTCACGGAACACGGTGAGTAACTGGGTACTCAGGGAACACGGTGAGTAACTGGGTACTCAGGGAACACGGTGAGGTACTGGGTACTCAGGGAACACGGTGAGTAACTGGGGACTCAGTGAACACGGTGAGGTACTGGGTACTCAGTGAACACGGTGAGTAACTGGGTACTCAGGGAACACAGTGAGGTACTGGGTACTCAGGGAACACGGTGAGGTACTGGGTACTCAGGGAACACGGTGAGTAACTGGGTACTCAGGGAACACAGTGAGGTACTGGGTACTCAGGGAACACGGTGAGTAACTGGGTACTCAAGGAACATGGTGAGTAACTGGGTACTCAGGGAACATGGTGAGTAACTGGGTACTCAAGGAACATGGTGAGTAACTGGGTACTCAGGGAACACGGTGTGTAACTGGGTACTCGGTGAACACGATGAGTAACTGGGTACTCAGGGAACACGGTGAGTAACTGGGTACTCAGTGAACACGGTGTGTAACTGGGTACCCAGGGAACACGATGAGTAACTGGGTACTCAGGGAACACGGTGAGTAACTGGGTACCCAGGGAACACGGTGAGTAACTGGGTACCCAGGGAACACGGTGAGTAACTGGGTACTCAGTGAACACGGTGTGTAACTGGGTACCCAGGGAACACGGTGAGTAACTGGGTACTCAAGGAACATGGTGAGTAACTGGGTACTCAGGGAACACGGTGAGTAACTGGGTACTCAGGGAACACGGTGAGTAACTGAGTACTCAGGGAACACGGTGAGTAACTGGGGACTCAGTGAACACGGTGAGTAACTGGGTACTCAGGGAACACGGTGAGTAACTGAGTACTCAGTGAACACGGTGAGTAACTGGGTACTCAGGGAACACGGTGAGTAACTGGGTACTCAGTGAACACGGTGAGTAACTGGGGACTCAGGGAACACCGTGAGTATCTGGGGACTCAGGGAACACGGTGAGTAACTGGGTACTCAGGGAACACGGTGAGTAACTGGGTACTCAGGGAACACGGTGAGTAACTGGGTACTCAGGGAACACCGTGAGTAACTGGGGACTCAGGGACACGGTGAGTAACTGGGTACTCAGGGAACACGGTGAGTAACTGAGTACTCAGTGAACACGGTGAGTAACTGCGTACTCAGGGAACACGGTGAGTAACTGGGTACTCAGGGAACACGATGAGTAACTGGGTACTCAGGGAACACGGTGAGTAACTTGGGACTCACGGAACACGGTGAGTAACTGGGTACTCAGGGAACACGGTGAGTAACTGGGTACTCAGGGAACACGGTGAGGTACTGGGTACTCAGGGAACACGGTGAGTAACTGGGGACTCAGTGAACACGGTGAGGTACTGGGTACTCAGGGAACACGGTGAGTAACTGGGGACTCAGTGAACACGGTGAGGTACTGGGTACTCAGTGAACACGGTGAGTAACTGGGTACTCAGGGAACACAGTGAGGTACTGGGTACTCAGGGAACACGGTGAGGTACTGGGTACTCAGGGAACACGGTGAGTAACTGGGTACTCAGGGAACACAGTGAGGTACTGGGTACTCAGGGAACACGGTGAGTAACTGGGTACTCAAGGAACATGGTGAGTAACTGGGTACTCAGGGAACACGGTGTGTAACTGGGTACTCGGTGAACACGATGAGTAACTGGGTACTCAGGGAACACGGTGAGTAACTGGGTACTCAGGGAACACGGTGAGTAACTGGGTACTCAGTGAACACGGTGTGTAACTGGGTACCCAGGGAACACGATGAGTATCTGGGTACTCAGGGAACACGGTGAGTAACTGGGTACCCAGGGAACACGGTGAGTAACTGGGTACCCAGGGAACACGGTGAGTAACTGGGTACTCAGTGAACACGGTGTGTAACTGGGTACCCAGGGAACACGGTGAGTAACTGGGTACTCAAGGAACATGGTGAGTAACTGGGTACTCAGGGAACACGGTGAGTAACTGGGTACTCAGGGAACATGGTGAGTAACTGAGTACTCAGGGAACACGGTGAGGTACTGGGTACTCAGGGAACACAGTGAGGTACTGGGTACTCAGGGAACACGGTGAGTAACTGGGTACTCAGGGAACACGGTGAGTAACTGAGTACTCAGGGAACACGGTGAGTAGCTGAGTACTCAGGGAACACAGTGAGGTACTGGGTATTCAGGGAACACGGTGAGTAACTGGGTACTCAGGGAACATGGTGAGTAACTTGGGACTCACGGAACACGGTGAGTAACTGGGTACTCAGGGAACACGGTGAGTAACTGGGTACTCAGGGAACACGGTGAGTAACTGGGTACTCAGTGAACACGGTGAGTAACTGCGTACTCAGGGAACACGGTGAGTAACTGGGTACTCAGGGAACACGATGAGTAACTGGGTACTCAGGGAACACGGTGAGTAACTTGGGACTCACGGAACACGGTGAGTAACTGGGTACTCAGGGAACACGGTGAGTAACTGGGTACTCAGGGAACACGGTGAGGTACTGGGTACTCAGGGAACACGGTGAGTAACTGGGGACTCAGTGAACACGGTGAGGTACTGGGTACTCAGGGAACACGGTGAGTAACTGGGGACTCAGTGAACACGGTGAGGTACTGGGTACTCAGTGAACACGGTGAGTAACTGGGTACTCAGGGAACACAGTGAGGTACTGGGTACTCAGGGAACACGGTGAGGTACTGGGTACTCAGGGAACACGGTGAGTAACTGGGTACTCAGGGAACACAGTGAGGTACTGGGTACTCAGGGAACACGGTGAGTAACTGGGTACTCAGGGAACATGGTGAGTAACTGGGTACTCAGGGAACACGGTGTGTAACTGGGTACTCGGTGAACACGATGAGTAACTGGGTACTCAGGGAACACGGTGAGTAACTGGGTACTCAGGGAACACGGTGAGTAACTGGGTACTCAGTGAACACGGTGTGTAACTGGGTACCCAGGGAACACGATGAGTAACTGGGTACTCAGGGAACACGGTGAGTAACTGGGTACCCAGGGAACACGGTGAGTAACTGGGTACCCAGGGAACACGGTGAGTAACTGGGTACTCAGTGAACACGGTGTGTAACTGGGTACCCAGGGAACACGGTGAGTAACTGGGTACTCAAGGAACATGGTGAGTAACTGGGTACTCAGGGAACACGGTGAGTAACTGGGTACTCAGGGAACATGGTGAGTAACTGAGTACTCAGGGAACACGGTGAGGTACTGGGTACTCAGGGAACACAGTGAGGTACTGGGTACTCAGGGAACACGGTGAGTAACTGGGTACTCAGGGAACACGGTGAGTAACTGAGTACTCAGGGAACACGGTGAGTAGCTGAGTACTCAGGGAACACAGTGAGGTACTGGGTATTCAGGGAACACGGTGAGTAACTGGGTACTCAGGGAACACGGTGAGGTACTGGGTACTCAGAGAACACGGTGAGGTACTGGGTCCTCAGGGAACACGGTGTGTAACTGGGTACTCAGGAAACCCGGTGAGGTACTGGGTACTCACGGAACATGGTAACTGGGTACTCAGGAACATGGTGAGTAACTGGGTACTCAGGAACATGGTGAGTAACTGGGTACTCAGGGAACACGGTGAGTAACTGGGGACTCAGTGAACATGGTGAGTAACTGGGTACTCAGGGAACCCGGTGAGGTACTGGGTACTCACGGAACACGGTGAGTAACTGGGTACTCAGGGAACCCGGTGAGGTACTGGGTACTCACGGAACATGGTGAGTAACTGGGTACTTAGGGAACACGGTGAGTAACTGGGGACTCAGTGAACATGGTGAGTAACTGGGTACTCACGGAACATGGTGAGTAACTGGGTACTCACGGAACACGGTGAGTAACTGGGTACTCAGGGAACCCGGTGAGGTACTGGGTACTCACGGAACATGGTGAGGTACTGCTGTGGCTGCAGGCCCCAGGAGCCCCAGGCCGACTTGAGGCCGATCCTCTCTGCGTAGGCCGCGTGGTTGTAGGCTGGCTCCGTGCCGAACGAGTCCACCACGCGGTAGCGGCAGCTGCCACGCCGGTCCGGGGATGGGGAGAGGGAGAGCCGTTCCACCCATCACGTGGAAGGTGGTGAACCGTCGAAGGGGGGGGGGGGGGGGGAGAGGTTTGGGTAACTGAACAAATTTGCCACGAAACAGAAGAGCGTCAAACCCTTTGCGGAGGACGGGGTTCGGGTTTCAGGCTTGGGGGGGATGGGGAGACGGAGAGACATTCCACCCATCACGTGGATATTGCGGCACCGACAGACGAGGAGGATGGTTTTTTCATGTTAAGCGGTTGTCGCGAGCGTATCCTGAATGTTTTTTTAAATGGTGAATCGAAGAAAAATAAAGGGGACAAACGTAAGTTGGGAGCGAGAAAAGCCGTTGATAAAAGTTAGGTACAAGTATACGAATCTTACCTATAAAGTAATTATTTGTCTGTCTGTCTGTCCGTCTGTCTGTCCATCTGTCTGTCTGCGTTTGCGTGCTTGCGAGGGATTTGGCACTCAAATGGTGGGCAACCGATATTCCGTTTTCCTGTCCCTCACCTTGAAATGAGTTTAACATCTTAACACAACTACTGTTTTATTTCCAAAAAGGGTAAAACCCTACTCTTATATATTTTCATCATTTCTGATGATATATATGTGCAAGGAAGCTCTGTATTTTTGTCTCAAGCGTACACAGAGAGTACAGAACAGAGAATATGCAGTACACGTAGGGAGTACGCACCAAATAACTCATTGACACTCAAATGATAATGGAAACATCGCAACCCATGATCTCAGCGCATTTGAAGGGCTCCTCCCCCTCAGGGACGGCAGCCGTCCCTGCGCGGCACAAAGCAACAGGGCACCTGGTAGGCATCATTTTGCCACCAGCAGTCGGTTCAATGGTGATGATGATGATGATGATCGCCACCGTGGAACTGTGATGCCGGGTGCGGCGGACGCGGCCGTGCCAGCGGCACTGTGAGGACGCGAGCACGCGGCGTCATGGGCCATGCCCGCAGAGACTCACGCATACGGAGACTCACGCATACGGAGACTCACGCATACGGAGACTCACGCATACGGAGACTCACGCATACGGAGACTCACGCATACGGAGACTCACGCATACGGAGACTCACGCATACGGAGACTCACGCATACGGAGACTCACGCATACGGAGACTCACGCATACGCGCGGAACGAGAGCCCCATGTTCCGGCTCATTTGCGCGAGGCCCAGGTAGTCGGTGTACACGAGGTCGAAGGGCAGCGGGGTGGTGATGGGGCAGCTGCCCTTGCCAGGGGGCACCGCAACCAGCCTGCACGGAAACATTTTACTCACCAAAATAGACATCTCACCCACCACCGAGACATCTTACTAACCATAGAGACATCTCACTCACCACAGAGACGTCTCACCTACCATCTAGACATCTCATTCACCATCGAGACATCTCACCCAGAAAGGAGACATCTCACTCACCACTGAGACATCTCATTTACCACCGAGACATCCCACTTACCACAGAGACATTTCACTCACCATCGAGACACATCACTCACCATCGAGATATCTCAACCACCATCAAGACATCTCATTCACGATTGAGACATCTCACTCAGCATCGAGACATCTCACTCACCATCGAGACATCTCACTCACCATCGAGACATCTCACTCACCACTGAGACATTTCATCCACCACTGATACATTTCACCCACCATCGAGACATCTCACCCACCACCGAGACATCTTACTAACCATAGAGACATCTCACCTACCATCTAGACATCTCACTCACCATCGAGACGTCTCTCACCATCGAGACATCTCACCCACCACAGAGACATCTCACTCACCACGGAGACTCCTCTCCCACAAAGGAGACATCTCACTCACCATTGAAACATCTCACCACAGAGATATTTCACTCACCATCGATACATCTCACTCAGCAGAGGCATCTCACTCACCATCGAAACATTTCACTCACCATATACATACCTCATACTACAGAAATATCTCACTCACCACCGAGAAATCTCACTCACCACGGAGACATCTCACCTACTACAGAAACATTTCACTCACCACGGAGACATCTCACTCACCATCGAGACATCTCACCCACCACTGAGACATCTCACACATCACCGAGACATCTCACCCACCAACGAAACATCTCATTCACCACAGAAACATCTCATTCACCACAGAGACATCTCACCCAGAAAGGAGACATCTCACTCACCACTGAGACGTCTCACTCACCATCGAGACTACTCACTCACCATCGAGACATCTCACTCGCCATCGAGACATCTCACCTACCATCTAGAAATCTCACTCACCACCGAGACATCTCACTCACCATCGAGACTACTCACTCACCATCACGACGTCTCACTCACCATCGAGACATCTCACTCACCATCGAGACATCTCACTCACCATCGAGACATCTCACTCACCATCGAGACATCTCACTCACCATCGAGACTACTCACTCACCATCACGACGTCTCACTCACCACCGAGACGTCTCACTCACCATCGAGACATCTCACTCACCATCGAGACATCTCACTCACCATCGAGACGTCTCACTCACCATCGAGACGTCTCACTCACCATCGAGACATCTCACTCACCATCGAGACATCTCACTCACCATCGAGACATCTCACTCACCATCGAGACTACTCACTCACCAACGAGACATCTCACTCACCTTCGAGACATCTCACTCACCACTGAGACATCTCACTCACCATCGAGACATCTCACTCACCATCGAGACATCTCACTCACCACCGAGACATCTCACCCACCACACAAAACTCATTCACACGCAAAAACTAAGTGCCGGTGATTTCACCACAGCGCTTGTGCCGGTCATCGGCAAGTCCTCTCAGCTCCACATTCTCGTGTACCCCACATCAGCTCCATCTCTTCCCCAGCCCATACTTTATCCTTCCCAAAGCAGCAGCAGGAAGAGGAGGCAGCAGCAGAGGGGGATTGGGAGGCAGACAAGGAGGTAAAGGTGGTGGAGGGCTAGGGGGAGGAGTTGGAGGAGTTCGAGGATTTGGAGGAGTTGGAGGAAGAGGAGGAGGCACGTTTCCAGGCTGTGCCAGAGCGAGGACGTGGGCCGTGTGGCATGGGCCTTGCCTAAATGGCCACGTGAACAATGAGGCTCGTGCACGCGAATGACGTACATGACCCACCCACGCCCTCTCACCTCTTGAGATCCGTGAGGGACATTGACAGGGAGATGGAGTGGCCCAGCGTGTACAGCGCCCCCAGAGCATCGGCCCACTGCACCAGCTCACCAAGGGGACCCCCACGGGTCACCTGCTCGCCGAACAGCCCCCCGCCATCGCCCTCGACAAGCAGGCCCAGGTGAACGAGGATCTGCCGTGGAGCGTGCCGACACACAAAGCGTACGAATTCGCAGAGGGCTTCCTGGAGACTCGGGGAGGCTTGCACGGAGGCTTGCCCGGATTCACAGGGAGTTCCCGCAGGCTCGTGGAGATGGATAGGGGTAACCACGGTGGCTAGGAAATGTTAACTACCTCGCTTGGTATACAGGAGGTTGGGGGTATGATCCCGATCCTGACGCCTGCTGTATATTTGGAGTTTGCGTCTCTCTCTCTCTCTCTTCCCATGGTCGCGTGGATTTTTTTAAATCAACGTCACGTGCCGAGAGCATTTGGCTTCTGCTATAAATTTCCACATGATGGTGATAAGCCACTTCGTTGAGCTATCATTTGTGATGGCCAGGTTGCTTCTGAAAAACAACTACATAGCTCAGTGGAGCATTACCTGGTGAATAAAAAAAAAGTTTAAAATAGCTTTCAGAAAAAACATTTTTTTTTAATATATAAGAGACCCGCGGAGACTCGTGCCTTCTTCTGCGCACGCGGAGTGCTGGGGGCGGCGATGGTGGCGTTGGAGGCGGCGCTCTTCCACATCCTCCGCATGCGCCGGAGCCGGGAAGCCATGAAGGTCACGGCCGGGAGGTGGCTGTGAGCGGCCACCATGGCGGCGGCGAGCGGCTCCACGTCGCTACGCAGCTCCGCAGCCTCAGAGATGCGGGTCGCAGGGGTCGCAGGGGTCACAGGGGTCACAGGGGTCACAGGGGTCGTGTCTGTGTGTGGTATCTGTGTGGTGTCTTTGTTGTGGGGAGCAGTGGTGCAGTGGTTAGCACTCACCACTACAAACCTGGTGACCGGGGTTCGATTCCCGCTCACAGCCAACACCAGCGGCTATTATCTAAACCGGTCATGGGCCTCACCTAGGTTGACTCAGCCTCAAATGAGTACCTGGTGTGATGTATAAGCATCAGCAATTGGGAGACAAAAGCGGCTGGGCATGGTGCTGACCACCCACCCCCTCGTGTGCTGTGCCGGCTTTCGCAGGTGGTGCTACTCACTAAGAGCATTTCTCCTAACAGTCTGTTAAGGGTGTATGGGGGGGATTTTTTTTGTCTTTGTGTGTACCTAATCTGGCAAAAGTGCTGTGGTGACATAACCGCTAATTAGTAGTGCATGGCGGTTGTTTTTGTTGTGCGTCTTTGTTTTGTAGCTGATGAAGGTTGCAAGCAGGAATTTCATCATTGCTTGCAAATGGGGTTGGCAACGTCCATCCCTCTCCCTCCTTCTGATGCCAAGGGGGCATGGGTGAGTTTCAAGACAGCGACTCATGCAGCTGCTATGGCTGTATTGGGTACGCAGTCTAAATCTCCCTATAAAACATGGCTATTTGAGGTGTTCCGGCTGGTTTTCAAATAAGCAACAGGTCCACTCCCACCGGTGAATGAGGAGGCTTACTGCAGCCTTCGCTCGGAGGTTCGGAGAGCCGTGCGGCGCTGCAAGGATGAGTGGTGTTTGCGGGTTGCTGAGTAGATGGAATCTGCCTCAGTAGCCCACAATCACAAATCACTCTTGAATTCCATCAAAAAGGTTACTTACAACGCCTAACCTATAACCATCCTTAGAGGAAAGAAAGGTGATCCGATCTCCGACCCCCAGGAACAGATTCACAGGTTTGCTGAGTGTTTATGTGAGGTCTTGGGGGAGGAGAAACCCCTCAGCTCAAAGAACATAATGGGGCAAAGTGGGGATGACCCTGCTGGTGCTGTTGTGACTCAAATATTGGGGCACATAACCACTCCATGTGAACGGTGGGCTGAGGTGCTATCTGTTGAGTAAGTGCGAGGGGCAATCTGGAGCTTGAAACCAGGTAAAGCGCTAGGCAGAGATGACCTATCAAGCGAACTGCCGAGGGAAGGTGGCGTCTGTGTGCAGACTGGCCTACGTGACATCATTACAACTGTCCAGTCCATAGTACGGGTTCTGTAGGATTGGAAGGATGCCCTGGTGGTCTCCATTTTTAAAAAGGGGGACCGTACTGATTGCAACAATTATTCAACATGGCCTTGCAGGCAGGCAGATGAGAGGCTTGCGGAGCCCCAATGTGGTTTCAGGCCAAGGCGGTCCTGCACAGATGCCATATTATCTGGCCATATTCTCTACAGCTGTCATGTAGGGAATTCCATCTCTGCTTTATTTACCTGGTCAAAGCCTATGATACCATCAGTAGGCAAGGACTAGGTAATTTGTTTGTGCTTTCGGAGTCCCTGACTCCATGCTCACAATTATTAAGGACCTTCATGAGGGTGGACAGGCCCGGGTAAAGCTACGTTGCCGGAAGTCAGAGACATTCCCTGTTCACCTTGGGGTGCGACAAGGATGTCGTCTGGCCCCTACAATATTTGACATCTTCTTTGGCCACGTAGTTCGAGAAGCTTTCCATAGATGTACCGGTGGTATTTTCATCTGGTGCAGATACAATGGGAGGCTGACCGATGCCTGAGTGCGGTCAAGGGATGGCCCCAATTGGTCAACCATATTATGTAAGCAAATGATCTGGTAATTGCTGCCCACTCAGAGGACTTAGAGATTCTGCTGCTGAACCTGGAGCATGCTACTAAGAGGTAGGGTCTTACCATCAGCCCAACAAAAACAAGGCACCTGCCTAGGTATTTTATGTAATAAAATGCTCCCCTTCCTTCACTCCCCATGAGTGATGGGGCAGTTGTGGAGAGAGTGGAGAAGTTTCTATACCTGGGCAGTGTGCTAATGACCAGCTTGGGTTTGGCAGCCAAGGTGTCATTCCGAATAATTTCAGCAGCATTACTTTTTATCGGCTGCGTAACGCTGCTGTGTGGAAGCTACCTAGCCTGTCACTCCATACAAAGCCCTAGGTCTTCTCGGCCACAGTCATGCCCTCCCTTCTCTATGGTTGCAAAAAGTGGAGCCCTCTAAAGGAACATCTTCGCTGGTTTGAAACATTGATTCTAGCCTGTCTAACGATCCATCCTGGGTTTAACCAGACTGGATTATGGGAGGATTTCACAGGCTACATGGGGCATGTAAGCCCGTATGCCTAGCCACCGCAAACAGCTTCTGTTCGGCCGGATAGAGGAGGCTAAATGGGCACAACACGAGTTAGTGAAGACATGGACTGATACAGTCCAGGAGGATGTGGAGCTGAGTGGACTTGCTGATGACTGGTACCAGCGGTGTCAATATCGGCCTCTGCGGAGGAGGCTCATGAAGGACGATACTGGAGGCAGTTGGAGGCAGTCGCCCTTCAGAGGAGCGATGCTCACAACAATGAGCGGAGAGAACCAGGTGGCTAAAACGCAGCAAGTTGGTACATTAGAGAGCATAGCTGGTGCATCTGCCAGTCAACCCATGGCACCTGCTGGGTCTGTATCCGTGGTGGAAAACGACAGTTGCTCTCATCGTTGTTGTAGTATTGCGTCTGTATAAACTGAAGTCCGCTTTGCAGATCTTCTCGTGGATTGTCCGATTCAATTCCGCACATCGGGGGGAGATGTGATCGGGAACCCGTCTTGCCCTGATCGTGACACCGGAATTCTGTGGGGCATCCAAAATACCGCGGCGCCGGCTGGCGTGGTGGTGGTGGTGGCGCCGGTGGCAGACGGCGCACGGATCAGCGGCGGGCAGAAGTGCTCGACGGTGCCGAGGTAGTCGAGAGCAGAGCACACGGAGCCATCGACCCCGTAGAACGCGTAGCACGGGTCCTGCGCCCACACCCTCTGCAGGTACTGCAGCAGCAGCAGCAGCGTCAGCAGCAGTACCAGCAGTAGTAACAGCACCAGCAGTAGCAGCAGCAGAAACAGCACCAGTACCAGCAGCAGCACCAACAGCAGTACCAGCAGCAGCACCAACAGCAGCAGCGCATCGCCATCATTCCCACGTCACCATCATCGTCATCACCGTCACTGTATTTTCAACCACAGGTGACAACACGCACTGATGCACTCACTCAATCACAAACTGACCCCCCACTCACTTACTCATCCACTCACACTCACTCACCTACTCACCCACTTGCTCACTCACCCACCCACTCACCCATTCGTTCACCTGCTCACCCACTCACACTTCCTCACCGTGTGTTTAACCTATTTCACACTGAGACAGAGCGAACGCCGTCGAGCGCTGGACGAGTGAAGGGATGGGGGTGTGCCGTGCGTGAGAGGAGAGGAGCGAGGGGGGCACCTCAACTTTGTGCTGACACAGCGGGAAGTCCGGATCCTTCGGTACATCGCAGTCGTTCCCTGCCACAACGACAACAACAACCACGACGACAATCATCACAACAACAATCACCACGACAATCATCACCACCACAACAACAATAACAACCACACATGAGGTGTCTAGGGCGTGTCCAGCAACTGTCACCGAGTCTCCAGGCTCTCTATTGCTGCTGCTGCGCGTGGTTTAGTTGGGGCACCACAGTGGTTGGGAGATGTCAACTACTTCGCCTAGTATGCAGGTTGTCAGGGGTTCGCTCCCATAAGCAGGAATTTAACTCTGGTGGCCAGGTTAGAAGCGCAGTATACTAACCACTGCACGCCCGCTCACACACTCGCACTCTCTGCAGGGGCGCGATGATGGCGATATGTTAACTTCCTCGCTGGGTATGCAGGAGGTCAGGGGTTCGATCTCGACCCTGACAATGCCTGCTGTATATTTGGAGTTTGCGTGTCTCTCTCCCCATGGTCGCGTTGATTCTTCTCCGGGTCCTCCGGTTTTTCCCTCCCCATTTAGAATCAACATCACGTATTTAGAGTATTTGGCCGCAATAAATTTACACATGATAAGCTACTTCGTTGTGCTATCATTTGTGGCCAGATCGCTCCTGAAAAACAGCTACATAGCTCAGTGGGCCTTACCTGGTTAAATGAAAAATAAAGGTTTATTAATATTTTGTTTGTGATTTGCTAAGCTTTCCTCTAAAGTACTTTGCCACTCCTAAATGTTTGTTTGTATTGTTTGTTGTTGTAACCTCTTGACCCGCCCTGACTGGACATCTGTGAAAAAAAGAGCTTTCTAGCTCATCAGATTCCTCCTCCAGTCTAAATAAATATTCTGATTCTGAGCTATGGAAGTAGCAGACCGAAGAATCCTGGGTAAACCCACACAGAACAGGGAGAGAACACATACTCACAACAACAACCGCCATTCGCCACGAAGTGGCGGTGACGTTACCAAGACGCTTGTGCAGGCTATGTACACCTTGAGGCCACGTGAAGTGTCGAACGCCTGCTGGCAGAAGGTCACGGGGCAGACCGAGGTGCCACAGGTCGACTGACTGAGACAACTGGCTGATACACCACCTGTGCCCCCTACTGTGCCAACTTGCTGTGCTTTAGCCACCCGGCGGACCGCCCATTGTTGTGAGCATCGCTCCTCCGCCCTCCATTGTTGTTGGAGGGCGACTGCCTCCAACTGCCCAGTAGCACCCTTCACGAGCCTCCTCCACAGAGGCCGATCTTGACAAAGCTGGTACCAGTCATTGGCAAGTCCACTCAGCTCCACATCCTCCTGTACCAGATCACTCCATTTCTTCTCTAGCCCATGCCGCGCCCATATAGCCCCCTCTATCTGGCCAAACAAAAGCTGTTTAGACATGCGGTGACTGGGCATGCGGGCTACATGACCCAGCCAACGCAGCCTTGCCTGCCGGAGGAGCTCACCGATGGGACTTTGCCCAGATCTTTCAAGGATTTGTGAGCTTCTCACACAATCCAGCCTTGCTAAACCCAGGATGGATCGTAGGCAGGCCAGCCTAAATGTTTCCAATCGGTGAAGATGCTCCATTAGGGGGGTCCACGTTTCGCAAGCATAGAGAAGGGAGGGAATGACTGTGGCCGAGAAGACTTGAAGCTTCGTGCGGAGCGACAGACCACGTAGCTTCCACACAGCGTTACGCAACTGATGAAAAGATATTGCCGCTCGACTGATTCTGAGTGAGAATTCTGCTGTCAAACCGAAGCCGATCATGAGCACACTGCCCAGGTATGGGAAACTCTCCACTCTCTTCACAACCGCCGCATCACCGATTATGAGTTGTGGGGGTGGAGTGCCTGATGGTAAAAAATACCCAGGCAGATGCTTAGTTTTGGTGGGGCTGATGGTAAGGCCCCACCTCTTAGTGGCACGCTCCAGTTTCAGCAGCAGCGCCTCCAACTCCTCCTCTGAGCGAGCGGCAATTACCTAATCATTGGCATACATAACGTGGTTGACCAATAGGGAGCCATCCCTTGACCGCTCCCGGGCATCGAACAGCCTCCCATTGTATCTGTACCAGATGGCAATTCCTCTGGTACAGCCATCAAAGGCTTCACGAACTACGTGGTTGAAAAAGATGTTAAATAATATGGGAGCCAGAGGACATCCCTGTCGCACTCCAAGGTGAACAGGAAATGGCTCCGACTCCCGGCCACGTAGTTTTACCCGGACCCGCTCACCATCATGAAGGTCCTTAATGATTGTGAGCAGGGGGTCAGGGACTCCGAAAGCACGAAGAACAACCCAGAGCCCAGGCCTACTGATGGTATCATAGGCTTTGGCCAGGTCAATAAAGCAGAGATGTAGGTCTTGTTGGAATTCCCTACACCTCTGCTGTAGCAAACGGACAGAAAATATGGCATCTGTGCAGGACCGCCCTTTACTGAAACTACATTGGGGCTCCGCAAGCCTCTTGTCAGCGTGCCTGGCAAGGCGATGTTGAATAATCCTTTCCAGGACCTTTCCCGGCACACTGAGTGAGATGCCCCTGGAGTTGTTACAGTCTGTGCGGTTCCCCTTCTTAAAGAAGGGGACCACAAGGGCATCCTTCAAATCCTACGGAACCTGTCCAGTGTTCCAGACTGTCGTTATGATGTCATGTAGGGCAGTCTGTTCACACACGCCACCCTCCCTCAGCATTTTGCTTGGGAGATCATCTCTGCCCGCTGCCTTTCCTGGTCTCAGACTCTGGATTGCCTTTCATACTTCCTCAACAGATGGCACCTCAGCCAGCTACTCACAGGGGGTGACTTCTTCCTTCCTTCTTCTTATTCAGGCTGAGGGATTGCCCCTCCCCCAAGACCTCACAGAAATGCTCAGCAAATATGCAAACCTGTTCCTGGGGGTCAGAGATTGGATCACCATTCTTTCCCCGAATGATGGTAATAGGTGTGGTGCTGCAGGTTACTTTTTTGATGGAATTAAAGAGCAATTTGTGATCACGGGCCATTGAGGCAGACTCCATCTCCTCAGCAACCCGCGACCACCACCCATCCTTGCAGTGCCTCACGGCTCTCCGAACCTCTGAGCGAAGGCTGTGGTAAGCCTCCTCATTCTCCGACGTGGGATGCTGTAGCTGATGAGAGTGGGCCTGTCGCTTTTTCTCAGCTAGCTTGAACACCTCCTTTGTCAGCCAGAGTCTCTGGGGAGGTCTGGACTGTGTACCCAAAGCAGCCATTGCAGCTGCATGAGCCACAGTCCTAAACCTCGCCCATTTCCCCTCGACACCAGGAGGAGTGGGGGACGATGCCAACCCCAGCCACAAGCAATGATTAAATTCTCGCTTGCAACTTTCATCAGCTCGCTGAGACCATGCTACGAAGGGTTTGAATGGGGTCCTGGGTGTACACCCACCACTGGAGTGGAAGAATGGCAGGTGCATCTTACAGATGCCAAGTCGATGGTCAGTGGGCAGATCAGCTCCACAGTAGGTTCTGGTGTCACTGACCGCATCCGCTGTTCCGTCACTATGTAGTTCAGCAGATGTTCTTGCTTGGACCCGGCATGCATCCATGATGTTGTGTGGATGCGCGGATGCCGGAACAGCGTGTTGGTAATTACAAGCCCGTAGCCTGCACATAAATCGAACAGCCACCTGCCATTATTATTGAGCTGATCTGGCCCATGCCTTCCAATCACTCCAGACCAGGTGCCAGCATCATGACCAACTCGGGCATTGAAGTCACTCAACAAGATGACTCTATCCCGAGGGGCCACTATAGCTAGCACCTGTGACAGGAGGTCACAAAAGGCATCTGACTCATCTGCCTTGCCTGCATCCCTCCACCGATGTTCATCTTCAGTGGGGGCATAAGTAACCACGACCACCACTCCTTGCTTCTGGTTGATAGGAAGGCGAGTCCAACGTAGCCTGGGGCTAACAGCTTCCCACACCTTATCGCCACGCTCCCACAGCCCCTTCATTCTTGTGTTCAGAAGAAGAGCCACACCCTGTTGTTTGGCAGTCTCCTGCCCCGAGTAGAGGACTGTCCACCCCTCATGGTGGCAGGAGCCAGAGCCGGTCCACCGGACCTCCTGAATACCACAGAGATCCAGGCGGTACAGGTCCAGCTCCCGACAGAGGCGTGGCAGCCTCTCCTCAGCAGTGAGCATTCGAACATTCCACGTGGCCACACGTAGTGGTTTTTTGTTGTTTCTCGAGGAGCCCCGAGGGTAAGGAATCAGCCTCCTGGCTCCGCCAAATGGGGTTTGGCCAGGAGACGTCATAGAATCCGGCACAAGCTTATTAATGACATTTTTCGGTCGTGGTTTAGCAGCAATTATATGAAGGTAGAGGGGTTAACAGCCCCACGCACCCATCCAGAGACCCCATTTGGCCCCAGTGGTGGTCACTAACGCCATGATGGGAAAGGCCAATCGGAATTGGCCCTCCCCCACAGCACTGCCCACAACAGCATTGCCCGTCTGGAAAATGGGGAGAACATACTAACTCCACACTTACTCACAATCCCTCACTCTCACACACACACACACTCTCTCACTCGACAGAGCAGGGGGAGAACACAGAAACTCCTCCACACAGAGATGCACCCGAGTCAGGAATCTAAACAAGGTGCTTCCCGTTGTAAGGCACAAGCATCAGCACTCCACAGTCTGCACCCTGTCACCCCAACGTCTTGGGTTGAGAAATACTGCCGCTGCTGCAGATTGTGATGCTGATGACGGTGGTAATTATGCTCCTGATGATGGTGGTGATGGAGCCGATGTTCGCAATGCTGATATTGTAATGATGCTGATGATGGTGATGATGCTGATGATGGTAATGATTCCGATGATGGCGATGATGGCGATGATGGCGATGATGGCGATGATGGGGATGATGGCGATGATGGGGATGATGGCGATGATGGGGATGATGGGGATAATGATGTCGATTGCGATGCTGCCGCCCGTGGTACCGTTGTTGGCGCTCCGTCGCCGTGGTGGTGCCAAGTCCCCGGAGAGCTTTTCGAGCGCATCCCGGATCCGGGAGACGTTCCCTGCCAGTGCCCGGATCTCCCGCACCACTCCGCCGCTCTCCACGCTGTGCGACACACGGAGCACAATGGGCTTCATCCACACACAGCCCCCACGGGTTTCACCCACACGAAGCCCCCACGGGTTTCACCCACACACAGCCCCCACGAGTTTCACCCACACACAGCCCCCACGGGTTTCACCTACACACAGCCCCCACGGGTTTCACCCACACACAGCCCCCACAGGTTTCACCCACACACAGCCCCCACGGGTTTCACCCACACACAGCCCCCACGGGTTTCACCCACACACAGCCCCCACGGGTTTCACCCACACGGAGCCCCCACGGGTTTCACCCACACACAGCCCCCACGGGTTTCACCCACACACAGCCCCCACGAGTTTCACCTACACACAGCCCCCACGGGTTTCACCCACACACTGCCCCCACGGGTTTCACCCTCACACAGCCCCCACGGGTTTCACCCACACACAGCCCCCACGAGTTTCACCCACACACAGCCCCCACGAGTTTCACCCACACACAGCCCCCACGGGTTTCACCCACAAGGAGCCCCCACGGGTTTCACCCACACAGAGCCCCCACGGGTTACACCCACACGGAGCCCCCACGGGATTCACCCACACACAGCCCCCACGGGTTTCACCCACACACAGCCCCCACGGGTTACACCCACACGGAGCCCCCACGGGATTCACCCACACACAGCCCCCACGGGTTTCACCCACACACAGCCCCCACGGGTTTCACCCACACACAGCCCCCAAGGGTTTCACCCACACACAGCCCCCACGGGATTCACCCACACACAGCCCCCACGGGTTTCACCCACACACAGCCCCCACGGGTTTCACCCACACACAGCCCCCACGGGTTTCACCCACACACAGCCCCCACGGGATTCACCCACACACAGCCCCCACGGGATGCACCCACACACAGCCCCCACGGGTTTCACCCACACACAGCCCCCACGGGTTTCACCCACACACAGCCCCCACGGGATTCACCCACACGGAGCCCCCACGGGTTTCACCCACACACAGCCCCCACGGGTTTCACCCACACACAGCCCCCACGGGTTTCACCCACACACAGCCCCCACGGGATTCACCCACACACAGCCCCCACGGGTTTCACCCACACAGCCCCCACGGGTTTCACCCACACGGAGCCCCCACGGGTTTCACCCACACAGAGCCCCCACGGGTTTCACTCACACACAGCCCCCACGGGTTTCACCCACACACAGCCCCCACGGGTTTCACCCACACACAGCCCCCAGGGGTTTCACCCACGCACAGCCCCCACGGGTTTCACCCACATGGAGCGGTAGCATAACTTGTCTGACCGATCATCTCGTGATTAACATCGACACCAAAATCGCGATTCTGATCCACACATCAAGAGGTATTCAGAGGCAGCTGGTGAGCGTTCCATACCCGTGGAGGAGACTGGAGTGCCCGGATGCAAGCCACGCGTGCGAGGGGGCAACGCTCCATCCCACGCCAAAGGCACACATGGGAATTAGTCCACACTTTACTGCACCGCCTTCTCTTGGCGAGCTCAAGGTGCCTTTTATTAGCACGGTTGGCTTACGTACGCTGCGAAAGAAGTTAACCTATGTACGAGCATGCACACGAACATCTCCTCAGCACCCATGGAAGGGACGGAGGTCTGGCGATGCGTGCGTGTTCCACCAACGCAGGGTGTACCTGTGTGTGCGTGATCCATCAACACAGGGCGTACCTGTGCGTGCTTGAGCCATCAACGCAGGGCGTACCTGTGTGTGCGTGATCCACCAACGCAGGGCGTACCTGTGCGTGTTCCACCAACGCAGGGCGTATCTGTGTGTGTGTGATCCACCAACGCAGGGCGTACCTGTGCGTGCGTGTTCCACCAACGCAGGGCGTACCTGTGTGTGCGTGATCCACCAACGCAGGGCGTACCTGTGTGTGCGTGTTCCACCAACGCAGGGCGAACCTGTGTGTGCGTGTTCCACCAACGCAGGGCGTACCTGTGTGTGCGTGATCCACCAATGCAGGGCGTACCTGTGTGTGCGTGATCCATCAACGCAGGGCGTACCTGTGTGTGCGTGATCCATCAACGCAGGGCGTACCTGTGCGTACGTGATCCACCAATGCAGGGCGTACCTGTGCGTACATGATCCACCAATGCAGGGCATACCTGTGCAGGGTGGCGTTGAGCTGCAGCAGGAATGCGAGCGCCGAGTTCAGGCCGCCGACACTCTGCAGCTTCATGTCGAGCTCCTCCAGCGTCTCGGTGAGGCCACGGAGACGCAAGGCCAGCGGCTCTGCAGAGTCACAGGGTGACCGGTACTGCTTCCGCTCTACGTGCGTGCGTGTGGTGGTGATGGTGGTGGTCGTGGTGGTGGTAATGGTGGTGATGGTGGTGATGCCGGTAGTCGTGGTGGTCACGGTAATGCTAGTTGTGATGATGATGGTGGTGATGGTGGTGATGCCAGTGATGGTGTTGATGATGATGGTGATGATGGTGGTGATGATGGTGGTTTTGATGGTGGTGATGATGGTGGTGATGATGGTGGTTTTGATGGTGGTGATGATGGTGGTGATGCCGGTGGTGATGGTGGTGATGCCGGTGGTGATGGTGGTGGCATTGGTGGTGGCAGTGGCTCTCACACCAGTCTCGGGGAAGCTGTTGCTCAGTGCCTCTGGCCGCTTGGTGGATGCGCACCAATGGAGGAGATTCACGGCCATGAGCAGTGCCAGGGCCATGCACAGCAGCAGCACTCCCCTGCCAACACGTCCACGAAGCGGTGGCGTAGTGGTTAGCGCAACGTGCGATGGACCCGGCCACCCAAGTTCCATTCTCGCTCAACGCCAGTCGCGAATATCCAAACAAATCTTGGGTCCTTCCCGAGGTCGACTCCGGCTGAAATAATTATTACTGCAATTAGTTCGGTGTGTGAACATTACCACTCAGGAGACAAAGGCATGGTGGTGAACACACCCAACCCCTCTAATCGGTGCTCGCTAACAGCACTTGCCCCAACAGGTATGTGTAGGCTACACGGGAGATCGTTGTCTGCGGAAGGGCACATAGCTGCGTGGGAATGCATCTAATTAGATATGGCAAACTCAATTAGTTTTGTTGGCAGCGCTCCAATTGTAAATTGGCCGCATTGGACGCAGCATTGTTAATCCGGAGCCCACTCTGTGCAGCTATAATGGCCTGGGAAAGTTCCTGGGAAGTTTCTTAAACCACAGCGAGAAACCCACATTACGCACGCCTGTCTTAGCCCTAATCACCGCGAGGAAGCCAAAGCTGCACACCAACGGGGTCAACCAGGCTGAGCTCTGCCGGACCGCCCGTGGGCCGGCAGAGCTCAGCCTGGTTGGGAGCTTAGCGCGATTGGGAGCGTAGTGCGATTGGGAGCGCAGCGGGTTTGGGAGCGTAGCATGATTGGGAGCGTAGCGGGTTTGGGAGCGTAGCGGGTTTGGGAGCGTATTGCGATTGGGAACGTAGCGGGTTTGGGAATGTAGCGGGTTTGGGAATGTAGCGGGTTTGGGAATGTAGCGGGTTTGGGAGCGTATTGCGATTGGGAGCGTAGCGGGTTTGGGAACGTAGCACGATTGGAAGCGCGTAGGCGCGCAGTTGTGGCGCGTGGCTGGAAGGCCGTGTGTTGTGCTCGCTCCTTGCTTCTCGTGATAAGGACTTCGTGGTTTGTTGATTGATGTCGACGTGGAGAGATTGTTAAAACAAATGAAATTGCGGCATGAAAATAATAGCAGGCAGTGAGGAGTAAACTTTAAACTTTTTTTTTATCAGATAAGGCCCAGGGAGCTATTGGCTCTTTTTCAGAAGTGCCCTGGCCACGTAGCCCCCTGGCCACGTAGCCCCCTGGCCACGTAGCCCCCTGGCCACATAGCCCCCTGGCCACGCAGCCCCTGGCCACGTAGCCCCCTGGCCACGTGGACCCCAGTGAAGTGGCTTATCGCGTGAACATTCATAGCGGAAATATTCTGAACGCATGTTGATTCTAAATGTGGAGGTGAAAAACCGGAGGACGAGCAGAAAAATCCAAGCAGCTATGGGGAGAGAAAGACACGCATGCTCCAAATATACAGCAGGTGTCAGGGTAGGGATCGCACATACAACCTCCTATATACCAAGTGAGGTAGATAACATCTCCTAGTCACTGTGGCACCTCACACACAAGATGGGTCGACATATGTCTCTTACTCCATGGTCTGCTGGCGAGTGATGAAAGAGACAACAGACCTGAGATGCTCACTCACTCACTGGTCTACTATGTTTTAGACGTCGCCTGCTTCAGAGATTAAATGTGCTGTTTATTATGGATTTTGATGTGCTGAATTCAAATATGACAATTAAAACAACTGATTGGCTATTGTTCCAAAAATATGTAAGTTTACATTTTACGTCTATGTAAATTGTGTAGATAAGAGTTTCTCAAAGATTGTAAACCTAGGTCTTTTTATGTGTTTATGGTTGCTTTACATGATAACAGGTCACCTGTCCTGTCCATGTAACACTTTAAAAATCAGCAAAAGGGTTGTATAAATAAAATGTATTATGAAACAAAAGGCAAAAATCTATTATGTATATATAAGTACATAGTTTAGTCTTTATTCAGTGGCTACTCGGCGCTTCTTGGCTTGTCTCTTGTATTGATTAAATGGAGCGTCTTCTTGTCACTGTCCAGCAATAGTTTGCAAGCATTGATGGGCTCCATTTGCCCTGACAGCGTTTCTCCATTTTTGCAATGTCCTGGTGAAATCGCTCGCCATGCTCGTCGCTCACTGCTCTGCAGTTCGGTGGGAAAAAAAATCTAAGTGAAATTTTTTTATTTTTAGTGACATGTTGCAACCAAGGCTTTAGTAAGCCTTGAGGTTTTCCACCATCTCCCTGTAGTCGTCTGCCTTGTGTCCGAGACAATGTGTTGCCACTAACTGGAAGGCGTTCCATGCCGTCTTTTCCTTGTCACGCAGTGCACTATCAAATGCATCATCTCGAAGAAGTTCACGAATCTGAGGACCAACAAAGACACCTTCCTTTATCTTAGCTTCACTTAACCTTGGAAATGTTCCACGGAGGTACTTGAAAGCTGCTTGTGTTTTGTCCATGGCTTTGGCAAAGTTCTTCATCATACCCAGCTTCATGTGTAAGGGTGGTAACAAAATCTTATTTGATTCAACAAGTGGTGGATTAACACTTTTCCTCCCAGGCACCAATGACTGTCGGAGTGGCCAATCTATCTTGATGTAGTGGGAATCTCTCGCATGACTATCCTATTCGCAGAGAAAACAGCAGTACTCTGTGTAATCCAGTCTGCAGACCAAGCAAGAGAGCAACAACCTTCAAATCGCCACAAAGCTGTCACTGATGGTCATAGTTTATGCACCTCAAAAGTTGTTTCATGTTGTCATAGATTGCTTTCACATGGACTCCATGACCAACTGGAATTGATGGCAAAAACATTGCCATTATGCAGTAAAACAGCTTTAAGACTCATCGTTGATGATTCAATGAAGTCTCCACTCATCTGGATCATGAACCACCGATGTTGTTGCAGGCTACAAGATCGCCTTCCATGACGAAAAATTAGACAAGATTATTTTGATGGTCACGGAACATGGCAACCCTAACATCACCTGCCAGGAGATTCCACTGCTACAGTCTGGAGCTCAACAGCTCTGCCTTCCTACTCTTGGGTAGTTCCAAATACCTGACAAGGTCATTCAGTTCACCTTGTGTTATGAGGTGTGGTTCAGAGGAGGGGGATGGTATAAAAGCTGGGTCATGTGACCGTGATGGTTCAGGACCAGAAGTTTCATCCTCTTCCTCATCTGACTCAAGTGAGAATGATTCTGGTGCATCAGGAACCGGCAGTCCTTCTCCGTGGGGTACTGGGCGAATCGCAGATGGAATGTTTTGATAATGCACAGTCCACTTTTTCTTCTTGAGACACCTTTCCCAACTGGAGGCGCCATGCAGAAGTAACAATTGCTGATATGATCTGTTGGCTCTCTCATCATTGGCACTGCAAAAGGCATAGATTTATTTTTCAATCGCTGGCAGAGATGTGGTGTACAAGTGTTGCACCTATGTGTGGGGCCCATATCTTGTCCTGATATCCAATTTTGCAGCCAAATAAAGGTGATAGGCTTTCTTAACCATAGTGGTTATATTGCGCTTTTGTCATGCAAAAGTCACTTCACCATAAACATAGAAGAAGTTAACTGCTTTGCTCACACAAGCACGAGGCATCTCTGCTGACTTTGGCTAAACAGAAATGGGTCCCTTTGCAAAATCAAACACTGACAAATAAGAGAGCACGACACTGTATGCTTTCTCGAGCTGATATAGGGCAATTTGTTCACCAAAAGGATGTAAAAGCCTAGTTATGTTTGCATCATCCATGACTTGAGGAATAACATGAAACAATTCATATAATGTATGGTGGAATACCAGGTTCAGATTGATTCATTGTTTTGATCAAATAGCAAGTACTGCCTAAAGCCGGTTATAGATGTATTCATAGATACAAAGATGCATTTGAGTAATTTCTGGTTTAAATTGAGATTCCCTCCCTTTATAACTCACGTATCCTCCGTCCATTTTCAAGTCAAGGGTCATATATACTGACCCAGCAGCATATTGAAAACTAGAGCCAATCAACAGTTTTAAGGGGCCGCCCATAAATGACGTCACGCACCTGGGGGGGGGGTCAGACATTTGTGACGATGTGTGAAGAGGGGGGAGGGGGTTTGAGAAATGTGACGTCACATCAAAATGCACAACTTAAAATAAATATAGACAACACGTTCTACTGCATTAAATATACTTTTTAATAAATGTTTCTCCTACAACATCAGAGTGCATCGCCACATTAAACACGCACTACAATGAGAATAGTTTAAAGCGATTTGAAGCATGGTTTTTTTGGGAGGGGGGGGGCAGAGCTTTATGATGTCATATTTGAGGGGGGGGGGTCTGACTTTTTGTGACGCCGTGTGACGATGGGGAAGGGGGGTCAAAAAATCGTCCATAGTTTTCATTTTCAGTTACCCAGAATTAGTAAAGTTGGACTACATTTATTTCGGAAGCATTTCGGCTGTAGACCAGTGTTATTTGTAAACTCACGTGGAACCTCCGATTCCCAGCCTGGCTTCCTCCACTGACCATGTGAAACGGATCTTGAACATATCGCCTGACGGTCAGCCCCCCCCCCCCCCCCGTTGTCTACGGCTGGGCTGGAGTTTTGTAAAACTCAATGCAGAACCAAATGTCACGCGATCTGGGTTTTGTTTTTTGCGCAGTCACCGATACCGGGCTCAGACCATCGACTCGCTGCACTTGGGAACCCGGTTTCATCGCAACACAGTCCATGTGCGAGTCTACGGGTCTCTGTTTGAGTCTATGGGTCTCTGTGTGAGTCTACGGGTCTCTGTGCGAGTCTATGGGTCTCTGTGTGAGTCTACGGGTCTCTGTGCGAGTCTATGGGTCTCTGTGCGAGTCTACGTGTCTCTGTGTGAGTCTATGGGTCTCTGTGTGAGTCTATGGGTCTCTGTGTGAGTCTATGGGTCTGTGTGTGAGTCTACGGGTCTCTGTGCGAGTCTATGGGTCTCTGTGTGAGTCTATGGGTCTCTGTGCGAGTCTATGAGTCTGTGTGAGTCTATGGGTCTGTGTGTGAGTCTACGGGTCTCTGTGTGAGTCTATGGGTCTCTGTGTGAGTCTACGTGTCTCTGTGTGAGTCTATGGGTCTCTGTGTGAGTCTATGAGTCTGTGTGAGTCTATGGGTCTGTGTGTGAGTCTACGGGTCTCTGTGCGAGTCTATGGGTTTCTGTGTGAGTCTATGGGTCTCTGTGCGAGTCTATGAGTCTGTGTGAGTCTATGGGTCTGTGTGAGTCTACGGGTCTCTGTGTGAGTCTATGGGTCTCTGTGTGAGTCTACGGGTCTGTGTGTGAGTCTACGGGTCTCTGTGTGAGTCTATGGGTCTCTGTGTGAGTCTATGGGTCTCTGTGTGAGTCTATGGGTCTCTGTGTGAGTCTATGGGTCTCTGTGTGAGTCTATGGGTCTGTGTGTGAGTCTATGAGTCTGTGTGAGTCTATGGGTCTGTGTGTGAGTCTACAGGTCTCTGTGTGAGTCTATGGGTCTCTGTGTGAGTCTATGGGTCTGTGTGTGAGTCTATGAGTCTGTGTGAGTCTATGGGTCTGTGTGTGAGTCTACGGGTCTCTGTGTGAGTCTATGGGTCTCTGTGTGAGTCTATGGGTCTCTGTGCGAGTCTATGAGTCTGTGTGAGTCTATGGGTCTGTGTGAGTCTACGGGTCTCTGTGTGAGTTTATGGGTCTCTGTGTGAGTCTATGGGTCTCTGTGTGAGTCTATGAGTCTGTGTGAGTCTATGGGTCTGTGTGTGAGTCTACGGGTATCTGTGTGAGTCTATGGGTCTCTGTGTGAGTCTATGAGTCTGTGTGAGTCTATGGGTCTGTGTGTGAGTCTACGGGTATCTGTGTGAGTCTATGGGTCTCTGTGTGAGTCTATGGGTCTCTGTGTGAGTCTACGGGTCTCTGTGTGAGTCTATGGGTCTCTGTGTGAGTCTATGGGTCTCTGTGTGAGTCTATGGGTTTGTGTGTACAAGTCACAACACTCAACCCTCGCTCCCCGGACTCGCACTCTACTCCCCACCTCCACACGCACGCGCGCGCCCTCACCTTTGTCTGCGCGGGAACCCACAGACGCGGACCACTTGCATCCTCCTCTCTCCACTTGTCTCCCTCTACCTCGGCGATAGCAGCTGGCGCAATGGCAACAAGACCGAGTTGGAGGGGGGGGGTGAAGAGGATTGAGAGGAGAGCGACAGAGGGGGGAGGCGCTTCCACCACCACCACCACGATCAGCGTCTCCAGGGCGACACGCACCTGGCGGGGCGGAGGCCGACGTAGCCCCTCCCCCTTCTCTCCACAGCTCCTCCCCCTCTCTCCACAGCTCCCCCCCCCCCCTCTCCACAGCTCCTCCCCCTCTCTCCAGAGCTCCATCCCCCCCCCTCTCCACAGCCCCCCCCCTCTCCACAGCTCCATCCCCCCCCCTCTCCACAGCTCCATCCCCCCCCCCTCTCCACAGCCCCCCCCTCCTCTCTCCACAGCTCCCTCCCCCCCCCCTCTCCACAGCTCCATCCCCCCCCCTCTCCACAGCCCCCCCCTCCTCTCTCCACAGCTCCATCCCCCCCCTCTCCACAGCTCCCCCCCCCTCTCTCCACAGCTCCATCCCCCCCCTCTCCAGCTCCATTCCCCTCTCCACAGCTCCATCCCCCCCCCCCCTCTCTCCACAGCTCCATCCCCCCCCTCTCCACAGCTCCATCCCCCCCTCTCTCCACAGCTCCATCCCCCCCCCTCTCCACAGCTCCCCCCCTCTCTCCACAGCCCCCCCCCTCTCTCCACAGCCCCCCCGCCTCTCCACAGCTCCCTCCCCCTCTCTCCACAGCCCCCCCCCCTCTCCACGGCCCCCCCCCCTCTCTCCACAGCTCCCTCCCCCAATCGCAGTGGAATCTCCCTCGACACCCGGATTTCTTTATCCCGACTCCTTTCCTCCTCCCCACTCTCCTTCACTTCGCCTCTCTCAACTCTCCGCCTCCCTCTCAACTCTCTCATCACTTTGCCCAACCATCACCCTCCACCCTCATCCCACGAATATCACAGCCTCCTCTGCCGGGCACCATCCTCCACGTGCAGCAGCATTTACATGGCAGACCAACTCAGTCGTTTGTGTCAATCTTGAGCTCTCCAATCCATACCAACTGCGTGCCATCTATATGTATGTCTCAAGACTCTAAACTAAACGGTGCATTTCATTTTACCAGGTAAAGCCCTCTGAGCTATATAACACATTTTTCTGAAGCGACCTGGCCATCACAAATGATAGCTAGACGAAGTGGCTTATCATCACGTGAGCATTTAAGGTATCCCGCAAATATTCTCAACGTGATTTTTTCATTCTAAATGCGGAGGGGAAAACCAAAGGACCCGACCCGGATACAAATCCACGTGACCACGGGTAGAAGATGCAAAATCCAAATATACAGGCGTCGGGGTTGGGATCAAACCCACATCTTGTGTGCCAGGCTAGTTCACATCTTCTTGCCACTCTGGCAAGAGGGGCGATGCTGCTGCTGCGTGCGATTCGAGTCATTTGCAGGGGATTTCTTAGCACGGGGATGTAACGCGGCCACTCGCATTTGACAATGTGTCATATGTGGAGCCGAGTGGACTTGCCGATGACCGGTACCAGCGGTGTCAAGATCGGACTCTGTGGAGGAGGCTCGTGAAGGACGCTGCTGCGACTGGGCAGTTGGAGGCAGTCGCCCTCCAGCAACGGACAGAGGAGCGACGCTCACAACAACGTGTGGAGCGCCCAGCGGCTAACACACAGCAAGTTGGCATGGGGGGGGGGGGCACAGCTGGGTGCATCTGCCAGTCAACTCGGTCAACCCATGGCGCCTGCTGGGTCTGTCCTGCAACATGTCAGCGGGCGAGCCTTCGAAGCGTCCACGTGGCTTTGACGTGCACATCGCCTGGCACAGCGTCGTGGCGGCGGCGGCTGCTGCTGTTGAGTGAAGGCTTCTGATGCGTCGCTGTGAAGGCAGAGGCTTGAATACGTGCACTCGTGAGCGTCAGCAAACGGGGGGGGGAGGTGGACAGCGCCTGCACCCATCACTTGGACATCGCACAAAGACTGCAAGACGTTCGTACCGCTCGCATTGTAACCACCGCACACGCCTCCATCGACCACAGGATTTATTATCATCAGTTCCACTTGATTACACACCCAGGCACGTCTCACCGAGTCTCAAGACTCACGTTCAGGAGGGTCCGGTCGGGTGTTTCGCAGTTAGGGGGGTGAAGTTGTTGCTGCTGCAGTGACCCCAGTCGAGTGATCTGCAGGGCTCATCTCTCAGCATTGGCTGGGGGATGTGGTTGTGGCCAAAATCAGTGCCACTGCTCGCGTGTGTGCATGGGTTTAGCTATGGGGAGGAAACCGGAGAGGCCGGAGGCAAACCCCATGCAGAACGGGGGGGGGGGGGGGGTAGAGACAACAAAGACCCCCCCGTGAAGCCTTAACAGACTGCTGGGGCAAGTGCCGTTCGTGAGCAACACCTATGAAGGCCGGCACGACACACGAGGGGGTTTGTGGCGAACACCAGGCCCTGCCGCCCTTGTCTCCCAAGTGGCGATGTTTACTACGCACTACACCAGGTACTCATTTGAGGCAGAGTCCACCTAGGGGAGGCCCAGGACAGGTTCAGATAATCGTCACCGGTGTTGGTGGCCGTGAGTGGGAATCTAACTTGGGTTTACCAAGTTTGTAGTGCAGCGTAGCGCTAACCGCTGAAGAGACCACCACACTGACACACGCACACACAAGAACACACGCACGCACAAGAACACGCGCTCCACAACATAATGGATGCACGAGTTGGGAATCGAACCGAGGGTGAGCTTCTTGCTGCTGAACCCGACGGAAAGCAACAGCCAACAATTCCTCCTCCCTCAAAGTCGCACAATACACGCCTGTGGTCGGTCCCTGCCAACATCCCGCCGGCCACACGGCCTTAGCAGCGTTATATTTTTGGGTTACGGATGCAAGCAAAACTCTGGACTCGGGGTTTTGACTGTCTCATCAGCATTATAAAACGAGTGACTGCGATGAGATGCAACTCCTAGACGGCCGCGTGACCGAAGGGATGTGTTAAAAAAATATATACTTGTTTATTTAGAGGGACGGGCACGGTAAGGACTTTTTCAATCTAGATTTGAAAACTAATTTATTAACAACTTGTTGTGTTTAGTTTGTTGTCCTCCCCCGCACCTCCGATGAGCACGGTTGGCCGACGTACGGTGCGAAAAGAAGTTAAACGTAGACACACACGTACACGCGTGAATATACTTCACTGCCGTAGTTACGAGTCGTTTGGCAAGGTTGCGTGCGGTGGGGTAAAGTGTGGGTACATCCCACCTCTACCCTCCAATGTCTTGGCACGACGTTGAAGAGTAGACCAAATCCTCCTCCATAAAGAGTTTTTTTTTGGTTAGATCGGGGAAATATAAATGTGGTTAAACCCGACACAGAAATTTAGTAAAGTTTGTCACGTTAATAAAACATGCCAATTCGTTACTAATACAGCAATAACCGGTCGTGCGTTGTAGAGTTATCTCACAACATTTACAATTCGAGTAGCCTTGACATTTCGCCAGTTTATACAACCAGCCTCATGAGGCGAGTCAGAGTTGTGGAGAAATCCTCCTCCTGTTTTGGTCTTAAATAGAGGGGATAAATGTGATGTCGTCACCTGTGAGCCAATCAGATGGGAACAATATAACCCAAAAAACCTCCATTATGGATATTGGCCGCGAAAGCCTACGTTAAACAAATCCTCCTCTACTGCACATCACCACGTGTCCCACCCATCATAACAACCTCATCCCCCTGCGATTCCTGACGTCTAAGTTGCTTCGCTCCATCCTCCTCCACTGGCACACCACGTGTCCCGTACACGCAAACAAGGCGGCGGCGGGGCTTCCACAGGCCTCTCCGTGCCGAGCCCCCATCATCACTCAGCGTCCACAGAGAAGCAGTCGGCATGTGGTAGGATAACAACGGTCAACACCACACCACCACTGCCACCACCGCCACCGCAATAATCGCCAACCACGAACCCTTGCAACTAAGCAGCGGACGCATCACCGCTCCCTTGCGCTACTACCGACCCAATGCACCGAGTTCGATTCCCGGCCACGGCTATTAAACGTTGGTGGAGAGCGAAGTCTCAACCGTTTGTGAAGCTCCTCTCCCCCCCTGCTACCCTAGTGGTGGTGGTAGTGCCTTACGCCGGCATGAGCAGCGATGCACAGAGCACAACATAGGACTTGCTTCCCTACAGTACCGACTCAACCCTCGTTGTGCTCTCATCCAATGACCAACGTTGATCGTGCCGATTATTGCTGGCCACCTCGACGCTTTGGGCCGGTGCTTAGGGGCTGTGTACAAAAAAAATAAACACACACACACACCTCGGCTCAAGTGCTGGAGGGAGTGGGTTGGCGATCGCCGCCATAGTGATTGTATCAGTTTGAGTGAATCAGTGTGTGTGAGTGTATCAGTGTGTGTGAGTGTATCAGTGTGTGTGAATGTATCAGTGTGTGTGAGAGTATCAGTGTGTGTGCGTGAGTGTATCAGTGTGTGTGAGTGAATCAGTGTATGTGAGTGAGTGTATCAGTGTGTGTGAGTGAGTGTATCAGTGTGTGTGAGTGTATCAGTGTGTGTGCATGAGTGTATCAGTGTGTGTGAGTGAGTGTATCAGTGTGTGTGAGTGAGTGTATCAGTGTGTGTGCGTGAGTGTAACAGTGTGTATCAGTGCGTGTGTATCAGTGTGTGTGTGAGTGTACCGGTGTGTGTGTGAGTGTATCAGTGTGTGTGCGAGTGTATCGGTGTGTGTGAGTGAGTGTACCGGTGTGTGTGAGTGTATCGGTGTGTGTGAGTGAGTATATCAGTGTGTGAGTGTATCAGTGTGTGTGAGTGATTGTACCGGTGTGTATGAGTGAGTGTATCAGTGTGTGCTGGTGAGTGTACGAGAGGGTGTATGTGCGTGAGTGTGTCAGAGTGTGTGAGTGTATCGGTGTGTGTGTGAGTGTATCAGTGTGTGTGAGAGTGAATGTACAGGTGTGTGTGTGAGTATATCAGTGTGTGTGTGTGTGCGAGTGTATCAGTGTGTGTGCGAGTGTATCAGTGTGTGTGAGTGAGTGTACAGGTGTGTATGTGAGTGTACAGGTGTGTATGTGAGTGTATCAGTGTGTGTGTGAGTGTACAGGTGTGTGTGAGTGCATCAGTGTGTGAGTAAGTGTAACAGTGTGTGTGAGCGAGTGTACCGGTGTGTGTGTGAGTGTATCAGTGTGTGTGAGTGAGTGTATCAGTGTGTGTGAGTGTATCAGTGTGTGAGTGAGTGTATGAGAGGGTGTGTATGAGTGAGTTTGTCAGAGTGTGTGAGTGAGTGTATCAGTATGTGTGAGTGAGTGTAACAGTGTGTGTGCGTGAGTGTATCGGAGTGTGTGAGTGTATCGGTGTGTGTGTGTGTGTGAGTGTATCTGTGTGTGAGTGTACCGGTATGTGAGTGAGTGTACCGGTGTGTGTGTGAGTTAGTGTACAGGTGTGTGTGTGTGTATCAGTGTGTGTGTGAGTGAGTGTACAGGTGTGTGTGTGTGTGTGAGTGTATCAGTGTGTGTGTGTGTGAGTGTATCAGTGTGTGTGAGTGTACCGGTGTGTGAGTGAATCGGTGTGTGTGTGAGTGTATCAGTATGTGTGAGTGTACCGGTGTGTGTGAGTGTACAGGTGTGTGTGTGTGTGTGTGAGTATATCAGTGTGTGTGTGTGCGTGAGTGTACCGGTGTGTGTCTGAGTGTATCAGTGTGTGTGAGTGTGTATCAGTGTGTGTGCGAGTTTGTATCAGTGTGTGTGTGAGTGTATCTGAGTGTGTTGGAGTGAGTATCTGTGTGTGTGAGTGTACCAGTGTGTGTGTGAGTGTATCAGTGTGTGTGAGTGTACCGGTGTGTGTGAGTGTATCAGTGTGTGTGTGAGTGTATCAGTGTGTGTGTGTGTGTATCAGAGTGTGTGTGAGTGAGTGTATCTGTGTGAGTGAGTGTACCGGTGTGTGTGTGAGTGTATCAGTGTGTGTGAGTGAGTGTATGAGTGTGTGTGAGTGAGTGTACGAGAGTGTGTGTGAGTGAGTGTAACAGTGTGTGTGTGTGAGTGTATCAGTGTGCGTGTGAGTGAGTGTACCGGTGTGTGTGTGAGTGTATCAGTGTGTGTGTGAGTGAGCGTACCGGTGTGTGTGTAAGTGTATCAGTGTGTGTGTGTGTAAGTGTATCAGTGTGTGTGTGAGTCAGTGTACCGGTGTGTGAGTGTACCGGTGTGTGAGTGAGTGTACCGGTGTGTGTGTGAGTGTATCAGTGTGTGTGTGAGTGTATCAGTGTGTGAGTGAGTGTATCAGTGTGTGTGAGTGAGTGTATCAGTGTGTGTGAGTGAGTGTATCAGTGTGTGAGTGAGTGTACAGGTGTGTATGTGAGTGTACAGGTGTGTATGTGAGTGTATCAGTGTGTGAGTGAGTGTATCAGTGTGAGTGAGTGTATCGGTGTGTGTGAGTGTACCCATGTGAGTGAGTGTACCGGTGTGTGTGAGTGAGTGTACCGGTGTGTGTGAGTGAGTGTACCGGTGTGTGTGAGTGAGTGTACCGGTGTGTGTGCGTGAGTGTATCAGTGTGTGAGTGAGTGTATCAGTGTGTGTGTGAGTGTATCAGTGTGTGTGTGAGTGTATCAGTGTGTGTGTGAGTGTATCAGTGTGTGTGTGAGTGTATCAGTGTGTGTGTGAGTGTATCAGTGTGTGTGAGTGAGTGTACCGGTGTGCGTGAGTGAGTGTACCAGTGTGTGTGAGTGTATCAGTGTGTGAGTGTACGAGAGGGTGTGTGTGCGTGAGTGTGTCAGAGTGTGTGAGTGAGTGTACCGGTATGTGAGTGAGTGTACCGGTGTGTGTGCGAGTATATCAGTGTGTGTGTGAGTGTATCAGTGTGTGTGTGAGTGTATCAGTGTGTGTGTGTGAGTGTATCAGTGTGTGTGAGTGTATCAGTGTGTGTGAGTGTACCGTTGTGTGAGTGAGTGTACCGGTGTGTGTGTACCGGTGTGTGTGTGAGTGTATCAGTGTGTGTGTGAGTGTATCAGTGTGTGTGTGAGTGTATCAGTGTGTGTGTGCGTGTATCTGTGTGTGTGAGTGAGTGTACCAGTGTGTGTGTGTGTGAGTGTATCAGTGTGTGCGGGTGTATCAGTGTGTGCGGGTGTATCAGTGTGTGTGTGAGTGTACCAGTGTGTGTGAGTGAGTGTATCTGTGTGAGTGAATGTACCGGTGTGTGTATCAGTGTGTGTGAGCGAGTGTACGAGAGTGTGTGTGTGCGTGAGTGTATCAGAGTGTGTGAGTGAGTGTATCTGTGTGTGTGTGTGTGTATCTGTGTGTGTGAGTGTACCGGGTGTGTGTGAGTGTATCAGTGTGTGTGAGTGAGTGTACCGGTGTGTGTGAGTGAGTGTATCAATGTGTGTGAGTGAGTGTACCGGTGTGTGTGAGTGTCAGTGTGTGTGTGAGTGTATCAGTGTGTGTGTGAGTGTATCAGTGTGTGTGTGTATCAGAGTGTGTGTGAGTGAGTGTACTGTGTGTGAGTGTATCAGTGTGTGTGAGTGTACCGGTGTGTGTGTGAGTGTATCAGTGTGTGTGTGAGTGTATCAGTGTGTGTGTGTGAGTGTATCAGAGTGTGTGTGAGTGTACCTGTGTGAGTGAGTGTACCGGTGTGTGTGTGAGTGTATCAGTGTGCGAGTGAGTGTATCAGAGTGCATGTGAGTATACCGATGTGAGTGTACCCAAGTGTTTGAGAGTACCGAAATGTGTTTGTGAGTGTACTGGTGTGCGAGTATACCGGAGTATGTGCGAGTGGGTGTGAGTGTATTCCTGTGTATACGTGTGTGTGTACGTGTGTGTGTACATGTATGAGTGTATTTGTACGAGTTTATACATGCCAGTGTATATGTCTATGTATGTGGGAGTGTGTGTATACGTGGGAGTGTATGTGTGAGTATACTTGTGAGTGTACGTGCGAGTGTGTATACGTGCGAGTGTGTATACGTGCGAGTGTGTATACGTGCGAGTGTACGCGAGAGTATACGCATGTGCATGCGAATGTGTAGTGTGTAGGTCTTGTCACGTGCTTGCTACGTGCCACGCGACACCCCGGGGACACCGTTGCATTGACAAGGTCACCGACTCATCGTTCAGTGCGACGCCATTTCATCGAGCGTTGCTGTTCACAGCACGACGGGGGACAATCTGCGCCTCCCCCTCCCCTGCCCGTCCCGGACGGACGTTTCCCCGCCGGTTGGGGGTGTGGGGGGAGAGGGCGCCTCACTTGGCCTCCTCTTCCCGCAGGAACTGGAAGACCGAGGAGAAGTCTTTGGCGGCGTATCCGCGCGCACACATCACGCGGTAGAGCTGGTGCGCCAGCGAGCCCAGCGGCACCGGCGTCTTTGTGTTGGTCGCCGCGTTCTGGGCCAGGCTGAGGTCCTGCACAGACGCATGCACGCACGCAGACACGCATGTAGAGACGGGCACGTGCGCGTACGCAATTGCAGTTAGAAACGCAGAGGCAAGCACACATATAATCACACAGAGACACACGCAGAGACAACAACTGCCATTCTAAGTGGCGGTGATGTCACCACGACGCTTGTGCCAGGCCATGTGCACCTTGAGGCCACGTGAAGTGTCGAACGCCCACGGGCAGGAGGTCACGGGGCAGACCCAGGTGTCACGGGTCGACTGAGATGACTGGCTGGTGCACCACCTGTGCCCCTTACTGTGCCAACCTGCTGTGCTTTAGCCACCCGGCGCTCCGCTCGTTGTTGTGAGCGTCGCTCTTCCGCCCTCCGTTGTTGTTGGAGGGCGACTGCCTCCAACTGCCCAGTAGCGTCCTTCACGAGCCTCCTCCACAGAGGCCGATCTTGACACCGCTGGTACCAGTCATCGGCAAGTCCACTCAGCTCCACGTCCTCCTGTACCACATCACTCCATCTCTTCTCTAGCCCTTGCCGCGCCCGTTTAGCCCCCTCGATCCGGCCGAACAAAAGCTGTTTCGGCATGAGGTGGCTGAGCATGCGGGCTACATGACCCAGCCAACGCAGCCTTGACTGCCGGACAAGCTCATAGATGGGACCTTGCCCAGATCTTTCAAGGATTTGTGAGCTCCTCACACAATCCAGTCTGGTTAAACCCAGGATGGATCGTAGGCAGGCTATACTAAATGTTTCTAACCGGCGAAGATGTTCCATTAAGGGGGTCCACGTTTTGCAAGCGTAGAGAAGGAAGGGAATTACCGTGGCCGAGAAGACCTGAAGCTTAGTGCGGAGTCACAGACCAGGTAGCTTCCACACAGCGTTACGCAACCGATGAAAAGATATTGCCGCTCGACTGATTCTGAGTGAGACCTCTGCTGTCAAACCGAAGCCGGTCATGAGCACACTGCCCAGGTATGGGAAACTCTCCACTCCCTTCACAACCGCCGCATCACCGATTGGGAGTTGTGGGGGTGGAGTGCCTGATGGTAAAAAATACCCAGGCAGGTGCTTAGTTCTGGTGGGGCTGATGGTAAGGCCCCACCTCTTAGTGGCACGCTCCAGTTTCAGCAGCAGCGCCTCTAACTCCTCCTCTGAGCGAGCGGCAATTACCAAATCATTGGCATACATAACGTGGTTGACCAATAGGGAGCCATCCCTTGACCGCACCCGGGCATCGAACAGCCTCCCATTGTATCTGTTCCAGATGGCAATTCCTCTGGTACAGCCATCAAAGGCTTCACGAACTACGTGGTTGAAAAAGATGTTAAATAATATGGGAGCCAGAGGACATCCCTGTCGCACTCCAAGGTGAACAGGAAATGGCTCCGACTCCCGGCCACGTAGTTTTACCCGGACCCGCTCACCATCATGAAGGTCCTTAATGATTGTGAACAGGGGGTCAGGGACTCCGAAAGCACGAAGAACAACCAGGAGCCCAGGCCTACTGATGGTATCATAAGCCTTGACCAGGTCAATAAAGCAGAGAAGTAGGTCTTGTTGGAATTCCCTACACCTCTGCTGTAGCAAACGGACAGAAAATATGGCATCTGTGCAGGACCGCCCTATCCTGAAACCACATTGGGGCTCCGCAAGCCTCTCCTCAGCGTGCCTGGCAAGGCGATGTTGAATAATCCTTGCCAGGACCTTTCCCGGCACACTGAGGAGTGAGATGCCCCTGGAGTTGTTACAGTCTGTGCAGTCCCCCTTCTTAAAGAGGGGGAGTGAGACCTCTGTTGTTAAACTGGAGCCGGTCATAAGCACACTGCCCAGGTATGGGAAACTCTCCACTCTCTCCACAACTGCCCCATCACCGATTGGGAGTTGTGGGGGTGGAGTGTCCAATGGTACAAAATACCCAGGCAGGTGCTTAGTTTTGGCGGGGCTGATGGTAAGGCCCCATCTCTGAGTGGCACGCTCCAGTCTCAGCAGCACCGTCTCCAACTCCTCCTCTGAATTAGCAGCTATTACCAAATCATCGGCATACATAACATGGTTGAGCAATAGGGAGCCATCCCTTGACCGCACCCGGGCATCGATCAGCCTCCCATTATATCTGTACCAAATGGAGATTCCCCCGGTACAGCTATTGAAGGCTTCACGAACTACGTGGTCAAAATATTTGTTAAATAATGTGGGAGCCAGAGGACATCCCTGTCGCACCCCAAGGTGTACAGGAAATAGCTCTGACTCCCGGCCACGTAGTTTTACCCGGGCCCGCTCACCATCATGAAGGCCCTTAATGATCGTGAGCAGGGGGTAAGGGACTCCGAAAGCACGAAGAACAACCAGGAGTAGATTTAAAGCTTTCGTGACTGCTAGGATCCATACTCTTTGGTTCTATTGGGTAAAGTCACGTAGGTGAAAATAAAATAACTAAAAATCACGACGTTTCGGCTGGAGGACAGCGCTGGAGTGGAAGAAGCCACGCTTAGATCACGACCTTTAAGCTAATCCCTCAGTTATTTCAATGCTAAATTATCCTGTTTGATGTGTACTAGGTGCCTCTGTGGATGTGTAGGCTTTGATTTTACATAGCTATTTCTGTGACCAGTCACAAGCTAATCACGCAGCTACTTCAATGCTAAATTATCCGAACCAAACATTAAACTAATTTTCAATGGTACAGTATATTTTTTTCAAGTAGTGGTATCCCAAACTTTCGCAGCAGCTTAAATTCCCTTTTCACACCATCAATATGCAAACTCCCCCTCTGCCCCTTGCCGGTCTGCACATGTTCACCCCCTCTACACCGTTCATCATGCTAAGTCTGCCAAATAAATGCTAATTTTTATGCTAATTCCTTTGTCAAGGCGCTCTGTTTCTTCTCACACAGCTTAAAGGTCGCGGTCTGAGCTTGGCTGTGTTCGCTCCAGCGCTGTCCTCCAGACAGTCTCGTCCCTTCACCTGATGAAGGCCACTTGTGTTGTGGCCGAAATGTCGTGAGAATTTTATTGTGTTATTTTAATTTATTAATTTATTATTTTATTCTCATTCTACGTGACTTTACCGAAAGAACCAAAGAATAGATTGACAGTTCTTTTGTGTTTCTTCCATTTGCGAATAATCACACCAACTGTTGTCACCTTCTCACCAAGCTGCTTGGCAATGGTCTTGTAGCCCATTCCAGCCTTGTGTAGGTCTACAATCTTGTCCCTGACATCCTTGGAGAGCTCTTTGGTCTTGGCCATGGTGGAGAGTTTGGAATCTGATTGATTGCTTCTGTGAACAGGTGTCTTTTATACAGGTAACAAGCTGAGATTAGGAGCACTCCCTTCAAGAGTGTGCTCCTAATCTCAGCTCGTTACCTGTATAAAAGACACCTGGGAGCCAGAAATCTTTCTGATTGAGAGGGGGTCAAATACGTATTTCCCTCATTAAATTGCAAATCAATTTATAACATTTTTGACATGCGTTTTTCTGGATTTTCTTGTTGTTATTCTGTCTCTCACTGTTCAAATAAACCTACCATTAAAATTATAGACTGACCATTTCTTTGTCAGTGGGCAAACGTACAAAATCAGCAGGGGATCAAATACTTTTTTTCCCTCACTGTAGGTCTTGTTGGAATTCCCTCCACCTCTGCTGTAGCAGACGGACAGAAAATATGGCATCTGTGCAGGACTGCCCTTTCCTGAAACCGCATTAGGGCTCCGCAAGCCTCTCCTCAGCGTGCCTGGCAAGGTGATGTTGAATAATCCTTGCCAGGACCTTTCACGGCACACTGAGGAGTGAGATGCCCCTGTAGTTGTTACAGTCTGTGGGGTCCCCCTTCTTAAAGAGGGGGACCACCAGGGCATCCTTCCAATCCTGCGGAACCCGTCCAGTGGTCCAGACTGTTGTTATGATGTCATATAGGGCAGTCTGTGCACAAATGCCACCCTCCCTTAGCATTTCGCTTGGGAGATCATCTCTGCCCGCTGCCTTTCCTGGTCTCAGACTCCGGATCGCCTTCAGTACTTCCTCAACAGATGGCACCTCAGCCAGCCACTCACAGGGGATGACTTCTTCCAATATTTGAGGCACCGCAGCCTCAGCAGGGTCATCCCCAATTTGTGCCACGATGTTTTCCTGGCTGAGGGGTTTCCCCTCCCCCAGGACCTCACAGAAATGCTCAGCAAATCTGCAAACCTGTTCCTGGGGGTCAGAGATTGGAACACCGTTTTTTCCCCTAATGATGGTAATAGGTCTGGCGCTGCAGGTTACTTTTGTGATGGAGTCAAATAGAGATTTGTGATCGTGGGCCACTGAGGCAGACTCCATCTCCTCAGCAACCCGCGACCACCACCCATTCTTGCAGCGCCTCATGGCTCTCCGAACCTCCGAGCGAAGGCTGCGGTAAGCCTCCTCATTCTCTGACGTGGGATTCTGTAGCCGATGACAGTGGGCCCTGTCGCTTTTTCTCAACTATCCTGAATACCTCCTCTGTCAGACACGCAAGAACACACACACACACACACCATCCCCGCGTCCCACCCCCCCCTGCTCACCTTGGCCATTAGGCTGGTGCCGAAGCCGCCCTGGTAATTGTTGGCGGCAGGGACGCCCTCCATGACGCCGGGCACCGGGTTGTATGCCTCGCTCGACCAGCAGCGCCCCGAGCTCATGTTGAGGATCCGCGCCAGAAGCTTGGGGTCCAAGCCCAGCCTGAGACACAAACAACAGCAGCGGACTTGAGAACACAAGTGCAGTACCACCATGGCCTGTCATCACTGTTCATAATCGTCATAACGCATCGCTATGATCATCATTATCAGGCATCGCTATGATCATCATCACGCGTCGCTATCATCATCACGTGTCGCTATCATCATCACGCGTCGCTATCATCATCACGCGTCGCTATCATCATCACGCGTCGCTATCATCATCACGCATCGCTATCACCACCACACGTCACTATCAACACCATCACGCGTCGCTATCACCATCACAAGTCGCTATCACCATCACGCATCACTATCATTATCATCACGTGTTGGTATTACCATCACTCATCACTAGCACCATCACGTATCGCTATCACCATCCCCCATCGCTATCACAATCACACATCGTCGCACCTTATTCCGAGGTTCATAGCTTCAGACGTCCCGATCATGCTGATCGCCAGCAGCATGTTGTTACAGATCTTGGCTGCCTGCATATCAGGAACAAGCACCACAGCAACAACTGAAAACGAAGTTTATTTTACCAGGTTTAAGTCCCGGCTCAGCTACTTAGCTCTTTTTCAGAAGCGACCTGGCTATATCACGAATGATAGTTCAACAAAGTGAGCTCATCATAATCACCACGTGGACATTTAGAGCAGCAGCCAAATACTCGAAACATGTGACGTTGATTCTAAACTTGGAGGGAAAAAGCGGAGGACCCAGAGAAAAATCCACACGACCACGGGCATAGAGAGATGCAAACTCCAAATCCAGACTTCTCCTATGAAGCCGCATCTTGTTTTCATAATGCGAATTGTATATAAGGTGATGAATGTATAAGGGAACACATTGTTTTATAACGCAGATGCGAATAACGTGATTGAGTGCACGGAACTACGTCGCGCCAGTAGGAATAAGCGGTTTATAGGTGTAGCATCATCGCACAAGGCATTTGGATGCTGCTGTATGCTTCTAGATGCTACCCACACGCCTCAGTCTTTGTTCGGCCTACGTACGCATCTTGCGTGTGATCAGGGACTGTGCATTACCCCCTATCTCATCTATAAAAGTCATTTTTTGTCCGTCTGTTTGTCTGCGCACGCGCGCTTGCGAGAAATTTGGCTCTCAAACGGTGGGGTTTATGTCGAAAAAGATTTGCCAGGCAGCACGCCGTAAGCCCCGCGGTGGGCAATCACTATGCCGTTTTCCCGTCACTCACCTTCAAAATAGTTAAAATAGCGTTATGAGGCGATTTTTCTTTATTTTTGCCGCCCACCGCAGGACAAAGCACGCAATTGCACATGCGCGAAACGCTGACAGGAGTTGCCCCTAGCAACGCAAACACGATCGCTAAAAATGTTCATTCGCGTTAACAATGCTTAAAAATATATACACACAACGCTGAGGTTCATTCTTCACAGTCTTACAGTGAGGGAAAAAAAGTATTTGATCCCCTGCTGATTTTGTACATTTGCCCACTGACAAAGAAATGATCAGTCTATAATTTTAATGGTAGGTTTATTTGAACAGTGAGAGACAGAATAACAAAAAAATCCAGAAAAACGCATGTCAAAAATGTTATGAATTAATTTGCATTTTAATGAGGGAAATAAGTATTTGACCCCCTCTCAATCAGAAAGATTTCTGGCTCCCAGGTGTATTTTATACAGGTAACGAGCTGAGATTAGGAGCACACTCATAAAGGGAGTGCTCCTAATCTCAGCTTGTTACCTGTATAAAAGACACCTGTTCACAGAAGCAATCAATCAATCAGATTCCAAACTCTCCACCATGGCCAAGACCAAAGAGCTCTCCAAGGATGTCAGGGACAAGATTGTAGACCTACACAAGGCTGGAATGGGCTACAAGACCATTGCCAAGCAGCTTGGTGAGAAGGTGACAACAGTTGGTGCGATTATTCGCAAATGGAAGAAACACAAAAGAACTGTCAATCTTCCTCGGCCTGGGGCTGCATGCAAGATCTCACCTCGTGGAGTTGCAATGATCATGAGAACGGTGAGGAATCAGCCCAGAACTACACGGGAGGATCTTGTCAATGATCTCAAGGCAGCTGGGACCATAGTCACCAAGAAAACAATTGGTAACACACTACAACGTGAAGGACTGAAATCCTGCAGCGCCCGCAAGGCCCCCCTGCTCAAGAAAGCACATATACATGCCCGTCTGAAGTTTGCCAATTAACATCTGAATGATTCAGAGGACAACTGGGTGCAAGTTTTGTGGTCTGATGAGACCAAAATAGAGCTCTTTGGCATCAACTCAACTCGCCGTGGTTGGAGGAGGAGGAACGCTGCCCATGACCCCAAGAACACCATCCCCACCATCAAACATTGAGGTGGAAACATTATGCTTTGGGGTGTTTTTCTGCGAAGGGGACAGGACAACTTCACTACATCAAAGGGACGATGGACGGGGCCATGTACCGTCAAATCTTGGGTGAGAACCTCCTTCCCTCAGCCAGGGCATTGAAAATGGGTCGTGGATGGGTATTCCAGCATGACAATGACCCAAAACACATGGCCAAGGCAACAAAGGAGTGGCTCAAGAAGAAGCACATTAAGGTCCTGGAGTAGCCTAGCCAGTCTCCAGACCTAAATCCCATAGAAAATCTGTGGAGGGAGCTGAAGGTTCGAGTTGCCAAACGTCAGCCTCGAAACCTTAATGACTTGGAGAAGATCTGCAAAGAGGAATGGGACAAAATCCCTCCTGAGATGTGTGCAAACCTGGTGGCCAACTACAAGAAACGTCTGACCTCTGTGATTGCCAACAAGGGTTTTGCCACCAAGTACTAAGTCATGTTTTGCAGAGGGGTCAAATACTTATTTCCCTCATTAAAATGCAAATCAATTTATAACATTTTTGACATGCGTTTTTCTGGATTTTTGTTGTTATTATTCCGTCTCTCACTGTTCAAATAAACCTACCATTAAAATTATAGACTGATCAATTCTTTGTCAGTGGACAAACGAACAAAATCAGGAGGGACGATGGACTTGCCACAACAGTCTGTGAAGGCTACACTGAGGAGCGTGGTGCTCTGCATCTCCGTGGGAGTGAGGGAGTGAGGCAGCGAGCGAGCGAGGTGCGTGCTGTTACCTGCCCCGTGCCCACTCCCCCACAGTGCACCACGTTGGCCCCCATGCAGCTCAGCAGCTCCTTGGCGGCGTTGAATTCGGCCTCAGGACCGCCCACCATGAAGGTGAGGTTCCCAGCCCTTGCCGCCCCCACTCCTGAGCTCTCGCAAAGACAAAGATCGCCCACCAACCCCCGCGTGTGTAGCCTCAGCAGACGTATCAGGTGTCCACCGCGTCACGTGACGCATACATAGCAAACACGTCATGACACGTGCACACACACACACGTAAAACATACACTCACTCGTATATACGCACACATACACGCATACATACATACACGTACTCAATGATTCACATGTACACTCACATACGTAGGAAGAAAAAATAAAATAAAAATAAATAACGTTTCGATCGCAACAGAAGCAATCGTCATCAGGTGAGTCCGATGCAGCAGGAAAACTGCTGCAAACAGGCGAGAGAGCTGCCGTGACAAGAGGTTATATAGGTCTGAGCTGGGAGTAACCCAAGGGTAAGTGGGCGGGGCTGGAGGTGGAAGAGAGAGGGGGCGGGGCAGAAAGTGGGGCTGTGGAGCTGCGTGTGAGACATGGGGGGAGAGATCGGCGGTAGGGGGGAGAGAGAGGAGGGGTTTGGGCAGAAATAAAAAGGGGGAGGCACGGGGGGGGGGCGAGAGAGGGGGTGGGGCAGAGATAATCGGTGGTAGGGGGAGAGAGGCTGTGTTAGTGATGTTAATGTGAGAAATTAGCATGTTAATGTAAGATCGCAGAGGGGCCTCAAGACGAGGGCCCGGAGGTGGCTGTGTTAATGTGAGAGATTAGAATGTTAATGTAAGATCGCAGAGCCACCACCAAGTCGAGGTCGGCGCGCGGAGGTGGCTACGTTGGTGTGAAAATATTTTAAACTGTTAATGTAAAATGAAGAGCTACTCCCGCTTCCGCCTCACGAGGGAGCACCCCCTGTGTCCCCTGCTGCCAGCGTCTCCGTGGGAGGGCCCCGGGCTGGGCGCCCCCGCGAAGCTGCCAGCACCCCCGGTGAGGCTGCTCGCACCGTCTGCGCCATCCATGGCAGTAACAGAGGAGGGGAGGCGGTGGAGCTGGTGGCCGTGCAGTTGCACGTGGCTACCTGTAATTTGGCGCTGGTTAATAACGTCCTTCCAATGGTTGCTCAGCTTATACCATCTTCTCGGTTGAAGTTGTCTCTGTGTTTATATATCTGGATGGCTTCATAGACAAATCTTTGATGGTAGCACGAAGGTTTGCAGAGTACCTTGGTCTTGGAAAAAACTATATCGTGCGAGCCCACCGCGTTATAACAATGATCAGCCACTGCAGAGGCATTGGTTCTGCCATGTTTCAAATCTTCCATGTGTTCGCGAACACGGTTCGAGACATGTCGTTTAGTTTCCCCAATGTAACTGCTGCCGCAGACACAACTTAGTTTGTAGACACCAGAGTATTGCATGTCAGAAATGACATCCTTCACCGATGGGATCAGATCACGGATTTTGTGTACTGTATTGAATCGGACCTGAATCTTGTGTTTGTTTAAGATTTTGGAAATATTTTTAACCACTACACCACTCCTCCCCACTGAGCTCACAACCGCACACTCGCGCACGCGCGCGCACACAAACACTCACTGCAGAACAGGGAGAGAACACACACACACTCCACACAGAAGGGCACCCAAGTCGTGAATCGAATCCAGGCCCTTCTCGCTGCCTGCCGCCTACACGAGTGAGGGGATGCACGGTGGGGGTGAGGGAGGAGGCGGACCGCCAAGTCTCACCCCCAGAGACCGGCGCGTCCATGAAGACGGCGCCGGCGCGCTCTGCGGCAAGCGCCGTCTCCTTAGAGACGAGCGTGTCGATGGTGCTTGAGTCGACAAGCAGCGAGCCCTTCCGCACACTCCTGCAAGCGCGGGGGCGGAGTGGGGTCGCACACATGGGAAGGCCGCCGGCAACAGTCAGCCCATCCACAATCATCGTCGTCGTCACAGATCATCATCGCCACATGTCATTGTCACAATCTGCTTGTTGTTGCGTTTAGTTTGTGGTCCTTCCCTCGCATGTCCGATTAAGGAGGGTTGGCTACGTACAGTGCAAAAGAAGTTCAACATACGTGCAAACATAGATTCACAGACCCACTCACACAGAGACCCAAAGACTCGTACAGAGACCCATAGACGACTCGCAGAGACACCCATAGACTCGCACAGAGACCCATAGTTTGTTGTCCTTCCCCCGCACCTCCAATTAGCAAGGATGGCTATGTAGTGTGCGAAAGAAGTTCTAAGCACGTATATATCAATACCACAAATCATTACATTGTCACCATCATCACATCTCCATCATCACATATCACATCATCACATATCATCACTACACATCATTACATTTCTATACCACACATTATCATCACAAATCATACATGATCGTAATACATCATCATCGTCATCTGCCTCTTCCTCAATCCACTTCCAAATCTCACAATCTGTTCCTTGCCTGTCACTCTGCGATGCATCTTGACCACCGGCCACCATACACACCGTGTGTGTACTATGCGAGAGTACACTGTGTTCGCTAGCTGGGTATAGTGGACTTAGTGAGAGTGCTATGTGAGCGTACACCAAAACACTCTGAGAGGACAGTGTGTACTATGTGAGTGTACACCGTCTATACTACGCGAGTGGACACTGTGTATACTGTGAGAGTACACCGTGTGTGTACTATGTGAGTGTACACCGTGTGTATTGTGAGAGTGGACACTGTGTATACTGTGAGAGTACACCGTGTGTATTGTGAGAGTGGACACCGTGTGTACTATGTGAGTGTACACCGTGTGTATTGTGAGAGTGGACACTGTGTATACTATGTGAGAGTACACCATGTGTATTGTGAGAGTGGACACTGTGTGTACTATGTGAGAGTACACCATGTGTGCTATGTGAGAGTACACCGTGTGTATTGTGAGAGTGGACACCGTGTGTACTATGTGAGTGTACACCGTGTGTATTGTGAGAGTGGACACCGTGTGTGCTATGTGAGAGTACACCATGTGTATTGTGAGAGTGGACACCATGTGTGCTATGTGAGAATACACCGTGTGTATTGTGAGAGTGGACACTGTGTATACTATGTGAGTGTACACCGTGTGTATTGTGAGAGCGTACACCATGTGTGCTATGTGAGAGTACACCGTGTGTATTGTGAGAGTGGACACCGTGTGTACTATGTGAGTGTACACCATGTGTATTGTGAGAGTGGACACCGTGTGTGCTATGTGAGAGTACACCATGTGTATTGTGAGAGTGGACACCATGTGTGCTATGTGAGAATACACCGTGTGTATTGTGAGAGTGGACAATGTGTATACTATGTGAGAGTACACCATGTGTATTGTGAGAGTGGACACCGTGTGTGCTATGTGAGAATACACCATGTGGATTGTGAGAGTGGACACCATGTGTGCTATGTGAGAGTACACCATGTGTATTGTGAGAGTGGACACCATGTGTGCTATGTGAGAGTACACCATGTGTATTGTGAGAGTGGACACCGTGTGTGTTATGTGAGAATACACCGTGTGTATTGTGAGAGTGGACACCGTGTGTGCTATGTGAGAGTACACCGTGTGTATTGTGAGAGTGGACACCGTGTGTGCTATGTGAGAGTACACCATGTGGATTGTGAGAGTGGACACCATGTGTGCTATGTGAGAGTACACCGTGTGTATTGTGAGAGTGGACACCGTGTGTGCTATGTGAGGGTACACCATGTGTATTGTGAGAGTGGACACCGTGTGTGTTATGTGAGAGTACACCATGTGTATTGTGAGAGTGGACACCGTGTGTATTGTGAGAGTGGACACCGTGTGTGTTATGTGAGAGTACACCATGTGCATTGTGAGAGTGGACACCGTGTGTTATGTGAGAATACACCGTGTGTATTGTGAGAATGGACACCGTGTGTATTGTGAGAGTGGACACCGTGTGTGCTATGTGAGGGTACACCATGTGTATTGTGAGAGTGGACACCGTGTGTGTTATGTGAGAGTACACCATGTGTATTGTGAGAGTGGACACCGTGTATACTATGTAAGTGTACACCGTGTGTGCTATGCGAATGTACATTGTGTATACTGTGTGCGTACTTGAGGATGCCGCTGGGCCCCGTGTAGGCCTCGGTCACATTGGGGCTGGACGGGAGCATCGTGATGATGCGATCGGCGCGTTCCGCCACCTCTGCAGGAGACTCCACGATCTACACGCAGATAACAACCAGCTGTGTGTGATGATCGACATCAGTTGGGTAAAACGAAAACCGTCAGCAGTTGTGTTTGATAGCATGTCCTCCTATATCAAACTATATGTTACAAAAAGGATACAAAAGCACGATAAGAGTGCTAAGTATAGGAAACATGAACAGATCACTTAAAACATATAAACAAATGAACCTAAACTATTTTTTGTATCTTACCCAGTAAGGCCCACTGAGCTATTAGCTTATTTTTCAGAAGTTACCTGGCTATCGTAAATGACAGATCAACGAAGTGGCTTAATCCTGTGGACATGTAAAGTAGCCAAATAGCTCTAAACAGATGACGTTGATTCTAAACGTGGAGGGGAAAATCAGAGGACCTGGAGAAAAATCCACGTGACCACGGGGAGAGAGAGACACGCAAAGTCCAAATATACAGCAGGCTTCAGGGTTGGGATTGAACCCACGATCACCTGCATACAAGGTGAGGTGGTTAACATCTCGCCACAGTGGCACTCATCAACACATTTGAAAGATCGTTAAGATCTGCAGATTCCACCCTTCTGTGCATACCTCGATCCTAGCTGCGTTCCTGGGGTGAGCGGCCACTTGCTATGGCCACGCCACCGTTGTGGAATTCCCTACCATTGGAAATTCGTTCATACGATAGTGTGGATACTTTTAAGTCTCATTTTGAAACACATCTTCTCAATCTTGATTTGAAGCTTTCGTGACTGCAGGAATCCATACTCTTTGGTTCTTTCGGTAAAGTCACGTAAGAACCAAAGAGGACATCTTCTCAAGTCAGTTTATTCTATTTAGTTTCTCCTTCTCTCTTGGCTTTTCGTTTATCCGTATTCTTACAGGGCGCCTTGAGACATTAGTGGAAGGCGCTTTGCAAATAAATGTAAATTATTATTAGCCGTCCCTGTGTGGCAACCGTTGCTGTATGTGTTCCCAAGTCAGTAACTGGCGGGTGATTTTTCAGCATTGGCATGTGGTTGTGGCCAATACAAGTTATGTTGTGTGTGTTTAGCTATGGGAAGAAACTGGAGATCCCAGAGGAAACACATGCTGAACAGGGGGAGAATGAACTCCACTCATTCTCTCTCACTCGACAGAACCACGGGGAGAACATACAAACTCCACTCACTCTCTGTAGAACAGGGTAAGAACAAACTCCACTCACTCACTTTCACTGTGCAGAACAGGGGGAGCACATTTCAACTATACTCACTCTCAATCCCACACCCACTCGCACATATACATAGATACACACTCACCGAAGCACAGGGGGAGAGAACACACAAACTCCACGCAGAAAGTGGCACCCTAGTCGGGAATCAAACCCAGGAACTTCTAGCTGCGATGGCTTGCGAGCGTGAACTGCTTGCACTCCACGTTAAAAGAAGGGGCAACGGTGTTGCTCTTGCACCTGCGCGCCACTGTCCTGCAGGTCCTTGCAGGCATCCGGAAAGACGTCGCAGGCAATGACCGGGTAGCCGTGCTTGATGAGGTTCTTGGCCATGGGGTTGCCCATGTTGCCCAGACCGACGAATCCCACGGGCGTCTTGGAGGCCATGCCCCGCCGCGACACTGGCGAGAATGCAGGCACACGAAGACACGCACACACAGATACACACAAAAGCATATCAAAATCAAAGATCCCCCAGTTAGCCTTTAACAGACCGTTGGAGGCAAGTGCTATTCACGAGTAGCACCAATGAAGGTCGGCATGGCACATGAGGGGTGGCTGGCAAGCACCATAGCCGGCCACCTTCATCTCCCCAGTGCCGATGTTATCCGCCACGATTATCGGTCGTGAGCAGGAATCGAACTCGGGTCGCCGGGTTCATGGTGTCAGTGCGCTTCTAACCGCTAGGCGTGGGGGCCGAGGTAATCAGGAGAAGCAACAACCCCAGCCATAACCCTAAAGGTGCAGCTCTGAAAGTGCCTGCCGGAAGAATGGGCCACCCCCACTAGAAAGGGAGCTCTGAAGGGTGAATGTCTTCTGCCTTTAACAGGTATGCAGGGTGCCACGGTGGCGAGATGTTAATTACCTCGCCTGGTATACAGGAGGTTGTGGGTCCGATCCCGACCCTGATGCCTGTTCCATATTTGAAGTTTGCATGTCTCTCTTTCTCTCTCTCTCCCCGTGGTGGTCATGTGAATTTTTCTCCGGGATCCTCCGGTTTCTTCCCCAAGTTTTTTAATCAACGTCACGGGTTTAGAGTATTTGGCTGCCGCTATAAATTTCCACACGACGATCCTCTTCATTGAGCTATCATAACGTGTGATAGCCAGGTCGCTTCTGAAAAAGAACTACTACATAGCTCAGTGGGCCTTACCTGCTAAAATAAAAAATAGAAGAACTGCCGAGCTCCCGTGGTGCACTGCTGCTGGCCAGGCAGAGGCGCTAGGTGGGTTGGATGGAGGGGGGGGATATTCGAGAAACTTGCTCCCTAGTTTCAACCGAACTGAACCAGCGAATTATGGATTGCGAAACAAGTGCGCTAACCATTACACCAAACAGCAGCAGCATCCCTGTGTGTGTATATGCCTGGGGAGCAGCAGCGTATCGGTTAGCGCGCTGTTCACTGAGAAGTTAATATTACTGAAAGTGGAGCAAGTCATTAAGAGGTGTGGCATTACAATTAGCCCCACCAAAACAAAGCAGCTGCCTGTATATTTAATGTCATCAAATACTCCACCCCCTCAACTCCCACTGAGTGATGTGGCGGTGGAGCGGAGAAGTTTCGATACCAGTGCAGTGTGCTTAAGACCAGCTCTGGTTTGGCACTGGAGGTTTACACTGAATTATTCGAGCAGGCAATATCTTTGCATCAGCTGCTTAACCCTGTGTGGAAGCTACCTGGCCCTTCACTCCTATACAAAGCGCCGGATCTTCTCGGCCACAGTTATGCTCTCCCTTCTCTACACTCTGGCAAAGTTAAATTCCATTAAAGGAACATCTGCACCAATAAAATGCAGCAAGCTGGCAACAGTGGGGAGCAAAGCTGGTACACCCACCAGTCATCTCAGTCGGTCAACCCATGATACCTGGGTCAGTCCCGGGACCTGCCAACAAGCCCTCCAACATTTCACATGGTCTCAAAGTGCACCTAGCCTGACACAGGCGCTGTGGTGACACTGCCACCATCACCAGTTAATGGTTAATAGCAGCTGCTGTTGTTAATTGCAGAGCCTCCAAGGATGAAGTAGCCCATCCCTTGCGATTGCGAGCTAACCATTAGACCGCAGAAGCTCGAAAGCTGACTTGACTTCATTACAGTGAAATGGGGACCATGCCATTGGCACACTGGCAATGCATGCGCTTGCCTGGCCACAGCTTACACAGAATGCCGCGTCAAGGACGTGACCTTGCGACGATCACTGCGGTCACCCCGCGGTTCGTGTCCTCCTCACGCTTTCTATTCCGAGGTGGAGAGATGCAAGGGGTGAAACTTACACGGCTAACCCCATTTGACTGCATTTGTTTAAGTTCATCAGGGTGTCCGCCGTGTCACGTGACACACACATAGCAAACACGTCATGACACGTACGCGCACACATATACATACACACACTGGCATATACGCGCACATACATTAACCACTACACTACCGCTCCCCACACAGATACACAAAGATAAACACACCAGGCTACATCGACACAACAACCGCAATTCGCCTCTAGGTTGCCGTAACGTCACCACGGTTCCTGTGGCAAGCTAAGTGCACTTTAAGGCCACGTGAAGTGTCGAACTCCTGGTGGAAAGAGGTCACGAGACAGACCCAGGTGCCATAGTTTGACTGCGATGACTGGGAGATGTACCACCCGTGCACCCCTAAATTCGCATATACTCACACATACATACACGCACTCATTCTTAAACATATACACTCACACCTATACTCAATCACAAAAGACAAAGATCTCCAATATAGCTTGAACAGACTTAGGGCAAGTGCTGTTTGCAAGCACCTATGAAGGCCGGCGGCACTGCACATGAGGGGGTCGGTGGCCAGCACCATGCCCAGCCTTCGTGGATGTTTACATATCACACCAGGTACTCATTTGAGGCTGAGTTGTCCTCAGGGAGGGACCATAACCGGTTCAGATAATTGAAGTTGGGTCGCCAGCATACTAACCGCTACACTACCACTCCCCACTCACTTCACTGCTCACCACCAAACGACTACACTGATGTACTTACTGGTAATCAATGAGGTACAACAGCTCATACACTCACAGATTAAAAGCACGTAGTGAAACACACACACGTAAAAAATACGAAGATGTTAAACATATTAGTTAAACAAAGATCCTTCACGCGCTTTGGACGTGAACGTCCATCCGTAGCTCTAGCCAGTCAGCCAAACTTTATTGACAACCTCCAATCAGTCAGTCAGAATGCGCACTGTGCCTAGCGTAGCCACCCAGAAAAACGTATTGTTTACACATATATACATAACAAAATAATTTATAAACTAAACAATTTTTAGTTTTACCAGGTAAGGCCCAAAGAGCTGCGATGTAGCTCTTTTTAAGAAGCGACCTGGCCATCACAAATGATGATAGCTCAGTCAAGTGGCTTATCATCATCACGTGGAAATTTATAGCAGCAGCCGAATACTCCGAACGCGTGACGTTGATTTTAAATGTGGACGGGAAAACCCGGAGGAAGCGGCCACCGGGAGAGAGAGACAGGCAAACTCCAAATACACAGCAGGCATCGTCAGGGTCGCAGATCGAAACCACGGCTTCCTGTATACCAGGCGAGGGAGGCAACATCTCCTATCCACTGTGGCGCCCGGGTTTCATACACTGCATAAACACAATGAAGTGCATACACACAATGAAGTGGTTGCATACTCGCAGGGCAAAGAGGGAGTGTGCGGGCCATCTGGAAGGAGCGCAGTTGGACAGAGTTGTAATGAGAGATCTAAAAGAGTGGGGGAGACTGGCATGTCCATGCTTGAGTGGGCCCTGGTGAGGCTCTCATTGGGGCCCCGTGAACTTCACTCGCACACGTGCGGCGAGTAACGCAAAAACGGTCGTCACCGCATCATCGCGTGGCGCTTTCAGATGCTATATACACTACACTATACAGCATACTACACGCTACACTATACACTACACTCGCCGTCGAACAAAGACGGTGGTCACTACATCATCGCGTTGCGCGTTCAGATGCGCTGCTTCTGCGGCCGTCTGGAACGCTCTTCTCTTCCGATATTAGGAAGCCGACTGGGAGCTGTGCTGCACTTTTAAATCAGCGTCTAGATTGAGAAACTAATTTCTTTAGAGGTGCTGCTTCTTGTTGTGTTTAGTTTGTTGTCCTTCCCCCAGCGACACCTCCGATTAGCGCGGTTGCTATGTACGGTGCGATAGACGTTCACAATACAAACTACTATACACAACACGATACATTACACTGCTACACTACACCACTATACTACATTGACAAACTCATTTCTTTAGAAATGCTTTTTGCGTTTCGTTTGTTGTCCTTCCCCCAGCCGCACCTCCGGTTAGCGCGGTTGGTTACCTACGAAATAAGTTCAACATCCGTACACAGAAACTTTGTTGACCACTACATCGGTGTGGCAGTGTGGTGGCCGTGTAATGTGGTGGTGGTGAATAGTTAATGGTGGTAACCAGTAGCGGTTACTCGTGGTGAGTGGCATAGCAGAGACTGCCTTGCCGAAGCAAGCATTGTTTTGTTGTTTTCAAACCGGCATAAATGTATGTAGAGTGCATCTTCTTATATATAAAAGTCTCCGCGTGCGCGCGCTTGCGGGGGATTTGGCTCTCAAACGGTGGAGTTCAAGTCCGAAAAAAAATACGGGGTGGCACGCCCCGAGCCCCCTGCTTGGTATAGGCTATTCCGTTTTCCCAGCCGTCAACTTTAAATTAGTTTAATTAGCGATTTAGTGCCATTCTTATTTTAATTATTTACTTGCTGCACGAGCTTGGCCGTACCAACTGACGCCAATTGCGTGGGGGGGGCCCTGCCAAGTGATGCACATTAAGTCGAGCTCACGGCCACACCACGGCACTCTGTCACGTGAGTACTTTGTGCTATAGAGTCACTAAATATACTGATATAGTCAGCATGTACTCCTGTAGAGTCTATAAATACTGCTGTAGAGTCCATTAATACTGCTATAGAGTCAGCATGTACTACTGTAGAGTCGATATCTACTGCTATACAGTCAGCATGTACTACTGTACAGTCCATTAATACTGCTATGGAGTCAGCATGTACTACTGTACAGTCCATAAATACTGCTATACAATAAGCATGTACTACTGTACAGTCGATATATACTGCTATAGAGTCAGCATGTACTACTCTACTCATAGCAAGTACCACCACTGTCGCTTGCCCTGCTGTAATCATAGCTTACACCACAGTATACATGCACTGCTGCAGGGAAAGCAGGTACCACCACAATATGCACTGCTGTAATCATACCAGGTACCAGCACATTCGGTATGCACTGCTGTTGTTAAACCATGTACCACCACAGTATGCACTGCTGTTATCATAGCAGCTACCACCACAGTTAGTATGCACTGCTTTTGTAATACCCGCTACCACCACTCTCAGTATGCACTGCCTTTGTGATAGCAGGTTCCACCAGTCACTAGGCGCTGCTGTAGTGATACCACAAACCACCACAGTCGGTTTGCACAGCTGTAGTCATAGTGCATACCGTCGTGGTGTGTGTGCGTAAGTCCATGTATGTGTGTGCGTAAGTCAATGTGTGTGCGTGATGTGTGTGTAGAAAACGACTTTTTTATTTAAGTTACTTCTTTCACAGTAATAATGCCTGCGTCTGAGTCCATGTGTGTGTGTGTGGGTCGATGTGCATGTCTGCGGCCATGTGTGTGTTTGAGTCAATGTGTGTGTGTGTGCGTCGTTCCATGTCAGTCAGTGTAAGTACATTTCTTTCTATGTGTGTGTTTTTTGGTCCATGTGTGCGTGAGTCCATGTGTGTGTGTCTGTACATACATGTGTGTGTGTGCGTGCGTACGTCCATGTGTGTGCGTACGTCCATGTGTGTGTCTCAGTACATGTTGGTGTGCCTCTATGTGCGTGTGTCAGTCCATGTATGTTTGTGTGGGAGTCTATGTGTGTCAGTCGATGTGTGTATGGCAATGTGTCTATGTGTTACAGTCCATGTGTGTGTGTGCGTCGATATGTATGTGTGTGGGTAAGTTCATGTCTGTGTGTGTGAGTCTATGTATGTGTTAGTCGATGTGTGGCTGTCAGTCGATGTGTGTGCGTGGGTCCATGTGTGTGTGTGTGTGACTCCCTGTGTGTCTGTAAGTCCATATGTGTGTGTGTAGGTCAATGTGTCTGTAAGTCTATGTATGTGTGTGTCACTCGATGTGTGTGTGTGTAAGTCAATGTGTGTGTGTGACTTGATATGTGTGTGTGTCAGTCCATGTGCATGTGTGTTCGTCGATGTGTGTGCGTGGCTCCATGTTAGTCAGTGTTAGTCCATTTCGTTGCGTGCTGTAGGTCCATGTGTGCGTGTTAGTCCATATGTGTGCTTTATTCACTTCCTCAGGGCCTATGATACCATCATTAGGCCTGGGCTCTGGGTTGCTCCTCGTACTTTTTCCAGTCCCTGACCCTCTGCTCACGATCCTTAAGGACCTTCATGATGGTGAGTGGCCCCACATCAAACTACGTGACCGTGAATCAGAGCCACTCCCTGTACATCTTGGGGTGCGACAGGGATGTCCACTGCCTCCCACATTCTTTTACATATATTTGGACCACGTACTTCGTTAAGCCTTCAATGCCTCTACCGGAAGAATTCACATCTGGTACAGATACAATGGGAGGCTCATCAATGCCCGGGTGCGGTCAATCGATGGCTCCCTATTGGTCAACCACCTTATGTATGCCGATGATCTGGTAATTAATGCTCACTCAGAAGAGGAGTTGGACGCGCTGCTGCTCAACCTGGAGCTTGCCACTAAGAGGTGGGGCCTTACCATGAGCCCCACCAAAACTAAGTACCTGCCTGGGTATTTTGTACCATCGGACAATCCACCCCATAACTCACAATTGGTGATGGGCCAGTTGTGGAGAGTGCAGAGTTTCCCATACCTGCCCAGTGTACTCATGACCGGCTCCGGTTTAACACCAGAGGTCTCACTCTGAATCAGTTGAGCGGCATTATCTTTTCATCGGCTGTGTAACACCGTGTTGAAGCTACTTGGTCTCTCGCTCCGCACAAAGCTCCACGTTGTCTCGCCCACGGTCATTCCCTCCCTTCTCTACACTTGCGAAACTTGGACCCCCCTAATGCAACATTTTCGCCGGTTACAAACATTTAGGCTGGCCTGCCTACGATCCATCCTGGGTTTAACCAGGCTGGATTGTGTGATGAGCTCACAAATACTTGAAAGATCTGGACAAAGTCCCATTGGTGACCTCCTATGCCAGGCAAGGCTGCGTTGGCTGGGCCATGTAGCCTGCATGCCCAGCCACCGCATGGCTAAACACCTTTTGTTCCGCCGGATCGAGGCCTCTAAATGGGCGCGGCACAGACTAGAGAAGAGATGGAGTGATGTACTACAGGACGATGTGCAGCTGAGGGGACTTGCGAATGACTGGTACCAGCGGTGTCAAGGTCGGTATCTGTGGAGGAGCCTCGTGAAGGACGCTACAGGCCAGTTGGAGGCAGTCGGCCTCCAACAACAACGGAGGGCGGAGGGGCGACACTCACAAGAACGAGCGTTGCACCATGTGGCTAAAGCACAGCAAGTTAGCAGGGTACAGGGCACAGGTAGTGTATCTGCCAGTCATCTCAGTCGACCTGTGCCATCTGGGTCTGCCCCGTGACCTCCTGCCAGCAGGTGTTCGACACTTCACGTGGCCTCAAGGTGTACATAGCCTGCCACAAGCGTTGTGGTGATGTCACTGCCACTTCGTGGCGAATGGCGGTTGTTGTTGTTGTTCAATGTATGTGTGAGTCGATTTGTGTGTGTAACTACATGTGTCTCTCAAGTCGATGTCTGTGTGTGTGAGTCCATATGTGTTTGCGTGCGTGTAAGTCAGTGGGTTTCTATGTGTATGGGTCCATGTCTGTTTGTAAGTCCATGTGTGTGTCTGCCTTTTTCGCCCGGGCAATGCCGGGTACTATCCGCTAGTTGTTTATAATTAGTGATTTGATTACATTTCCTTTACTTTGCACTCCAATCGTGTGAATGTGCAGTGTTGTTGTAACGTTCTTACCCCGTGCCCTTACTGGACGTGTGAAAAAGAGCTTTATAGCTCTTTTTATTTCAGCTTTATAGCTCCTGCAGTATAAATTGATGACCAGTGATTGGTGAGTACATTTAGTGCAGTCGTGCGGTGGTGAAAAAAAGGTTTGATTTTGTGGTAGGTGTGTTGTGGTTGTTGTAGTGATTGTGGTTAGATGGTAAATGTAGTGATGGTGGTTGCTGTTGTAGTGGTGGTTGTAGTGGTTGTTGTAGTGGTGGTTGTAGTAGTGGTTGTTGTAGTGGTAGTTAGTGGTTGTTGTAGTGGTTGTTAGTAGTTGTAGTAGTAGTTCTTTTAGTGGTTGTTAGTTGTTGTAGTAGTTTGTAGTTGTTGTAGTGGTTGTTGTAGTGGTTGTTGTTGTAGTTAGTTGTTGTAGTTAGTGGTTGTTGTAGTGGTGGTTAGTGGTTGTTGTAGTGATAGTGGTTGTTGTAGTGGTGGTTAGCAGTTGTTGTAGTGGTGGTTAGTAGTGATAGTGGTTGTAGTAGTTTGTGGTTGTTTTAGTGGTAGTTGTTTTAGTGGTTGTTAGTTGTTGTAGTAGTTTGTAGTGGTTGTTGTAGTGGTTGTTGTTGTAGTTAGTTGTTGTAGTTAGTTGTTGTTGTAGTGGTGGTTAGTAGTTGTAGTGATAGTGGTTGTAGTAGTTAGTGGTTGTTTTAGTGGTTGTTAGTTGTAGTAGTTTGTAGTTGTTGTAGTGGTTGTTGTTGTAGTAGTTAGTTGTTGTAGTTAGTGGTTGTTGTAGTGGTTGTTGTTGTAGTGGTTGTTGTTGTAGTGGTTGTTGTAGTGGTTGTTATAGTGGTAGTTAGTGGTTGTTGAAGTGGTGGTTGTAGTGGTTGTTGTAGTGGTTGTACTTAGTGGTTGTTACAGTAGCTAGTGGTTGTTACAGTAGCTAGTGGTTGTTGTAGTAATTGTTGTTGTGGTTGTAGTGGTTGTTGTAGCAGTTAGTAGTTGTTGTAGTGCTTGTTGTTATAGTGGTAGTTAGTGGTTGTGGTAGTTAGTGGTTGTTGTAGTGGTAGTTGTAGTAGTGGTAGTTAGTGGTTGTTGTAGTGGTAGTTAGTGGTTGTTGTAGTGGTTGTTGTAGTAGTTGTAGTGGTTGTTGTGGTAGTTAGTGGTTGTTGTAGTGGTAGTTAGTGGTTGTTGTAGTTAGTGGTTGTTGGGTTTGTTGTAGTTAGTGGTTGTTGTAGTGGTTGTTGTTGTAGTGGTTGTTATAGTGGTTGTTATAGTGGTAGTTAGTGGTTGTTGAAGTGGTGGTTGTAGTGGTTGTTGTAGTGGTTGTACTTAGTGGTTGTTACAGTAGCTAGTGGTTGTTACAGTAGCTAGTGGTTGTTGTAGTAATTGTTGTTGTGGTTGTAGTGTTTGTTGTAGCAGTTAGTAGTTGTTGTAGTGCTTGTTGTTATAGTGGTAGTTAGTGGTAGTTAGTGGTTGTGGTAGTTAGTGGTTGTTGTAGTGGTAGTTGTAGTAGTGGTAGTTAGTGGTTGTTGTAGTGGTAGTTAGTGGTTGTTGTAGTAGTTGTAGTGGTTGTTGTGGTAGTTGTAGTGGTTGTTGTGGTAGTTAGTGGTTGTTGTAGTGGTAGTTAGTGGTTGTTGTAGTTAGTGGTTGTTGTGGTTGTTGTAGTTAGTGGTTGTTGTAGTTAGTGGTTGTTGTAGTTGTTGTAGTTAGTGGTTGTTGTAGTTGTTGTAGTGGTAGTTAGTGGTTGTTGTAGTTAGTGGTTGTTGTAGTTAGTGGTTGTTGTAGTTGGTGGTTGTTGTAGTGGGTGTTGCTGTGGTTGTTGTAATGGTTGTTGTAGTGGTTGTTGTGGTTGTTGTCATTGTTGTTGTAGTTAGTGGTTGTTGTAGTTGTTGTAGTTAGTGGTTGTTGTAGTGGTAGTTAGTGGTTGTTGTAGTGGGTGTTGTTGTAATGGTTGTTGTAGTGGTTGTTGTAATTGTTGTTGTAATTGTTGTAGTTGTAATTGTTCTTGTAGTTGTTGTTGTTACCGAGTCTGGAGCCGCAGGCTCGAACCGCTCCCGCGCCCCTCACGAGCAGCGCCGCCGCCATTGCTCGCTCAGTGGTGGCCACAGGCGAGGGCCTCGCGGTACCTCTCCTCCTCCTCGCGTGCAACAACAGCAGCTGTAGCAGCTGTCTCCTCCTCGCGTGCAACAACAGCAGCTGTAGCAGCTGTCTCCTCCTCGCGTGCAACAGCAGCAGCTGTAGCAGCTGTCTCCTCCTCCTCGCGTGCAACAGCAGCTGTAGCAGCTGTCTCCTCCTCCTCGCGTGCAACAACAGCTGTAGCAGCTGTCTCCTCCTCCTCGCGTGCAACAGCAGCAACTGTAGCAGCTGTAGCAGCTGTCTCCTCCTCGCGTGCAACAGCAGCTGTAGCAGCTGTCTCCTCCTCCTCGCGTGCAACAGCAGCAGCTGTAGCAGCTGTCTCCTCCTCCTCGCGTGCAACAGCAGCAACTGTAGCAGCTGTCTCCTCCTCCTCGCGTGCGACAGCAGCAGCAGCTGTAGCAGCTGTCTCCTCCTCCTCCTCGCGTGCGACAGCAGCAGTAGCTTTAGCAGCTGTAGCAGTGGTGCAGGATCTCGATAGCTGCTGCTGCTGCTGGCCTGGACGAGAGAGAGCTGAGACAGAGACACACAGAGGGTGGTTGTTGTAGTGAATATTGAACAGGGAGAGTTTGTGTCGCTACTCGAGCTGCTGTTGCTGCTGGCCTGGACGAGAGAGAGCTGAGATAGAGACACACAGAGGGTGGTAGTTGTAGGGAATGTTGAACAGGGAGAGTTTGTATCGTTACTCGAGCTGCTGCTACAGTGGTTTTATTGGGGTCCGCGGCGAACGCGTTCCGGGTCGTGACCTACGCCGAGCGGTAACCGCCATCGTCCCCAACCACGGCATCAAATCACCGCGGTCCCTTGTAAGGCGCGGGGGGGTGTGGAGAGGGCCGCTCCAAGATGCTCGCCGCTGATTGGTTGGACTTCAGGAGACCCCTAATATTTATTTATTTATTACTGTGGAGGAATCCGATGAGCTATCAAGCTCTTTGTCACAGATCAGAACGCGAATATTTATTTATTACTTCGCCCGTTATAATGCCCGATGCACCCGTTATAACGCGCGAGGCGCCTGTTATAATGCACGAGGCACCCGTTTTAATGCACGAGGCACCTGTTATAACGCGCGAGGCGCCCGTTATAACGCGCGAGGCGCCCGTTATAACGCGCGAGGCGCCCGTTATAACGCGCGAGGCGCCCGTTATAACGCGCGAGGCGCCCGTTTTAATGCACGAGGCACCTGTTATAACGCACGAGGCGCCCGTTATAACGCGCGAGGTGCCTGTTTATAACGCGCGAGGCACCTGTTATAACGCGCGAGGCGCCCGTTATAACGCCCGAGGCGCCCGTTAAAATGCGCGAGGCGCCCATTATAACGCGTGAGGCGCCTGTTATAACGCGCGAGGCGCCGGTTATAACGCGCGAGGCACCCGTTAAAACGCGCGAGGCGCCTGTTATAATGCCCGAGGCGCCTGTTATAACGCGCGAGGCGCCTGTTATAACGCGCGAGGCGCCCGTTATAACGCGCGAGGCGCCCGTTATAACGCGCGAGGCGCCCGTTATAACGCGCGAGGCGCCCGTTTTAATGCACGAGGCACCTGTTATAACGCACGAGGCGCCCGTTATAACGCGCGAGGTGCCTGTTATAACGCGCGAGGCACCTGTTATAACGCGCGAGGCGCCCGTTATAACGCCCGAGGCGCCCGTTAAAATGCGCGAGGCGCCCATTATAACGCGTGAGGCGCCTGTTATAACGCGCGAGGCGCCGGTTATAACGCGCGAGGCACCCGTTAAAACGCGCGAGGCGCCTGTTATAATGCCCGAGGCGCCTGTTATAACGCGCGAGGCGCCCGTTATAACGCGCGAGGCGCCCGTTATAACGCGCGAGGCGCCCGTTATAACGCGCGAGGCGCCCGTTATAACACGCCAAAATGCTTTATTTTGCTGTGCAGTGGTGTGGAATGATGCAGGAATGTGGTTTACCCTGAAGTTATTTGCTCTGCCAAATGGCTGCGTGCGTGGTACGTCGTATTTCGCCACAACTTTTATCGTTATATTCATTGATGGGAGAAATTATTTTCGCTGAACGCGTTTTTTTGCTCCGCGAGGCACTTCTCAGGATCCGCTCAACAATGGCGCTCCCGCCTGGCCCAGGAGCTCGCACCCAGCACTGCCAGAGGGCATCGTATCGGGGACTCGAGGGGATTGATCCGGGACCCTGTGGATCGCCGGACACGATGCGCTGCTCCCCACAGCCAAGCACCGCTCTGGCCGCAGTGTTCTGCCTTCGTTCCCCAGCCTACAGAAAAGGCAACGTCGATTTCGTGTTCAAACGTCGATATCGCAACTCTTGTTTTATTGCCAGAAAGGGTAAAACCCCTACTTTTATTTTTCATCATTTGGATACAGTCTTGGCTTAGAGCTTTCGTGACTGCGGGAATTCATATTCTAGGTTCTTTCGGTAAAGTCACGTAGATAGGTTCAAAGAAATAACAAAAAAAACTACGACCTTTCGATCGCAACACAAGCAATCTTCATCAGGAGAAAAAAAGCAAGCAATCGTCATCAGGAGAGACAAGCTTTTTTCTCCAGATGACGATTGCTTGTTGCGATTAAAACGTCGTCGTGAACCTATCGACGTGACTTTACCGAAAGAGCCAAGAATTTGGATTTACAGTCATTGTCAAAAAAATATTCCGTAGCTAAATCCGAGGGGTTTATTTTTCGCAGGCATTGCCGTACAAAAACCGGAGGAAGGGCCTTTGCTATTGATGCCCCCAGGGTCTGGAATGCTATTGCAACTGCAACTTGAATCACTACCTATGAGATCTTCTCTCAAAACTGCTCTAGAGGAGTTGTACACCCCTAGCTGCCACTGCTATTCAGTGGCCTAAAATAAAATGAAATGTTTCGCTCCGGATGAGCGCTGCAAAGTATTAACTGTATTTTGATTTAGTGTGCTGATCTTAAAGGTGCATTGACAAATGTGATACTCTGATGCTCCTGTTGTTTGTGGAGTGACTCATGCAGCCAGCTGTGGCTCTAGGGTTTGGTGTTATAATTTATTTATGTAGTTAATTGTAAAAAATTCGTTCACAGTCCCTATGATCACTGTTACATTGCATTTATGGCTTTATTTTGGTGATTTCGAAAACGTTTATTAGTTTGGCCATGTTTTTGTTTATTGTAGTGCGGAATTAGACTGATGGCCTTAATCTAAGTTGTCTTGTGATTGTTGTTGACTTGCATCCCACTGGGATTTTTGCACACAGCGTTGGTGTGCGGTGCTATTTCAGTAACAGTTTGATGTTTTATCCTGGATTTTCTGTTTGCACAGTCACATAGTCACTTTAAGATGTTTTCTTGTTCATGTTTTTGTTTGTTGCGGTTGCACCCGATTCAAGAGCCGAATGGCTCACAGGGCTATACCAAATAAATGGAACTATAAATGGAAGTGCGGCACAATGCCGGTTATCGGTTTTAACCTTTTCCTCACGCGGTTTACCGCTTGTGCAGAGAGGGAGAGAAAAACCACAAACCATCCGCAGCTCGGAGGCTGTGAGAAGTTTTCGTGACTGCAGGGAATCCATACTCTTTGGTTCTTTCGGTAAAGTCACGTAGGTAGAATGATCGCTTGTGTTGCAATCGAAACGTCGTGATTTAATTTATACCCCACGTGACTTTACCGAAATAACCAGACTGGCAGCCTGGTAGCCGCGCGCAAAACGCCACGGTCCCCAGGTGGGGTGAGGGCTTAATTGCGTCACTTCCTGCGGTAAAATCGCCGCGGCCCCTGAGTCCCACTCGCTTCCACTTCTCCTCTAGCGCGGGTACGTTACCCCCCCTCCACCTCGTTACCCCCCTCCACCTCGTTACCCCCTCGTTACCCCCCCTCCCCTCGTTACTCCCCTCCACCTCGTTACCCCCCTCTACCTCGTTACTCCCCTCCACCTCGTTACCCCCCTCTACCTCGTTACCCCCCTCCACCTCGTTACCCCCCTACCCCCTCGTTACCCCCCTACCCCCTCGTTACCCCCTCCCTCCCCTCGTTACCCCCCTCCACCTCGTTACCCCCCCTCCACCTCGTTACTCCCCTCCACCTCGTTACCCCCCTCCCTCCCTCGTTACCCCCCTCCACCTCGTTACCCCCCCTCCACCTCGTTACCCCCCTCCACCTCGTTACCCCCCCTCCACCTCGTTACCCCCCCTCCACCTCGTTACCCCCCTCCACCTCGTTACCCCCCCGCCACCTCGTTACCCCCCTCCACCTCGTTACCCCCCCTCCACCTCGTTACCCCCCCCTCCACCTCGTTACCCCCCCCTACCCCCTCGTTACCCCCTACACCCTCGTTACCCCCCCCTACCCCCTAGTTACCACCCCCACCCCCTCGTTACCCCCCCTACCCCCTAGTTACCACCCCCCACCCCCTCGTTACCCCCCACCCCCTCGTTACCCCCCTACCCCTAGTTACCACCCCCCACCCCCTCGTTACCCCCCACCCCCTTGTTACCCCCCCTACCCCCTAGTTACCACCGTCACCTCGGCGCGTTCCTTCATTATTCAGCCGTGCTCAAATCCACTGCTGGATGATGGTGCCCCCCCCCCACTCTCTCACGGCCCTACGATGGCGCCATTCGGCTCAGGCACAGAGGAGCCCCCCATGCCCCCCCCCCCCGCCGTATCTGCATCGCAGTCAATCACGCGTGGACAAGTGACGGTGGGGTGTGGATGAGGATGATGGTGGCGGTGGTGATGGTGATTGAAGGCGATGATGATGGTGGCTGTGGTGATTATAATGGTGGTGATGATGATGGGTTGTAATAACGAGCGGAGCGCCGGGCAGCTAAAACGCAGCGAGTTAGCACAGTCGTGGACGGGCACAGCAGGTGGCGGTGGTGCATCCGGGCAGTCTTCTCAAGCCGGGAAACCCATTGGGGGGGGCACCTGCTGGGTCTGTGTTCCTTTGGGATCTCCGGCCGGCAGGCGAGTCACCGACACTTTCACGTGGCCTCAAAGTGTACCGGGCCTGGTACAGGTGCCGTGGTGATGCAGTGAAAACGCGTCCCATCACGCGTGAGAGAGACGACGATTCGGGCGTAGGGGGAGGCGAGTCGCGTGGATTCGGTGGGAACACAAAATACAGTTC